TAAGCAAATAGAATGAATTACTGATGACCAAAGAATTGTTGTTATTCCTTGATGTCAAGCCAACCCCAAATTCATGGTGAATCCTTGCACAGTGGCACAGGATTCTTCTAGTCCTTTGCGATCCCCATAATTAGTTGCAGATTAGACTTTGATCATCCACAGGTTTTCATTAGGTGATTTTTCTGAAGGCCTTTCTTGCTAGTCTGTCTTACTCTGGAAGCTCCAGTATAAAACAGATATTGGATACATGTGATATATAATGACTATGACTTGAACTTGGATCTCTCTTATAGAAGGCAAGAATCTACCACTGAGCAACCACTGCCTTCAGTTACTGTCAAGGTTACTGTAAGGTACTCTTGAGTCTGTTCCTATGAACAGCAGAATGAAGAACAACCCAGTCCTGCTCCATGCTCACAATCATTGCTGAGTTTGAGCCTAATTGTTGCAGCCACTGAGTCAATTCATTTGGTTGGTTTTTTGTTTTTTTTAATTTTTTTTATTTTTTTATTTTTAGACAGAGAGTGAGGCAGTGAGAGAGTGAGGCAGTGAGTAAGTGAGGCAGTGAGAGAGTGAGGCAGTGAGTGAGTCAGTGAGTGAGACAGTGAGAGAGTGAGTGAGTGAGAGAGTGAGTGAGTGAGGCAGTGAGTGAGTGAGGCAGTGAGGCAGTGAGAGAGTGAGGCAGTGAGTGAAGCAGTGAGTGAGTGAGGCAGTGAGTGAGTGAGACAGTGAGAGAGTGAGGCAGTGAGTGAGTGAGGCAGTGAGTGAGTGAGACAGTGAGAGAGTGAGGCAGTGAGTGAGTGAGATAGAGAGTGAGGCAGTGAGTGAGAATGAGACAGTGAGAGAGTGAGGCAGTGAGTGAGTGAGTGAGTGAGTGAGTGAGGCAGTGAGAGAGTGAGGCAGTGAGTGAGTGAGGCAGTGAGAGAGTGAGAATGAGGCAGTGAGAGAGTCGAGTCAGTTCATTTGGTTGAGGCTCTTTCTCTTTTTCACTGCTAGCAAGCATGGTGTCTTCTAGGGACTCATCCCTCCTGATAACATGTCCCAAGTACATGAGATGAAGTTTTGTCATCTTTACTTCTAAGGAGCATTCTGGCTGTACTTCTTCCAAGACAGTTTTGTTGTCCTGGCAGTCTAGGGGCAAACTGAGTATACTTTTGCACTATAATTCAAATACATTGATTCTTCTTTGTCTTCCTTCCTCACTGTCCATCTTTTTTTTTAAAATCATTTTATTAGGGGCTCATACAACTCTTATCACAATCCCTACACACATCAGTTGTGTAAAGCGCATTTTACATTCATTGCCCCTTACTGTCCATCTTTGTATGTATATAAGATAATTGAAAATACCATGCTTTGAGTCAGGCGCACCTTAGTCCTTGTCTTCAAGGTGACATCCTTGCTTTTTAACACTTTTATTTGGTCTTTTACAGCAAACAAACCTAACCTCTTCTCAAGTAGACCTAAAAGTTAACTGTGAGAAGTGAAAAGTCTGGTATGAAGAGCAGCTTTAGAGTTTCATATTTCTTAGTTGATGTCCACTCTTACAGCTTATTGTAACTATCCTTTATAAACTCATCTTGCCAGGAATTCTAATTGTACTTGAACTCTTCTAATTCACATAATGAAGCACCATGTAACCGATCAAAGCTCCTGCTGAACAACCAGAAAAGCTGGAGAGAACCAGTTTGAAGGCATTGCGGAACGTCAGAGTCAGCTAGGATTGGAGTCAAGATGCAGGAAAGGCAGGAGACACGTGCTGGTTTTCCCCCTGAGGCTTACAGCTCTTAAATTGTGTTGGGCAAGAAGTCAAAAACTAAGCAAGAGAAAAGGCTCAGAAATGAGCAAAAAGTAACTGAAAGAGTTAAAAGGCTCTTTTGATAGTTTTTGGGTGCTGGCTAAAGGTTTACAGTTGGAAGAGCACGAAAATAGATACAAAGGTGGAGAATTTTCCTAAAAAGAGAACCCCTAGAATCTGCCCAAAAGAATCAACCAGAAATCCTAGAACTGAAACATGTAGTAATTGAAATTCAGAACACAATAGATACTTTTAACTTTTGATTGTGAAAAGATTACATTAGTCACCTGGAAAATGTAAGTAGCAAATACTCAATTGAATGAATTTGTATTTTGGATGTTATAATGAAAGTTTATGTCATAAGAGCTTTTATTTTCTAAGAGCTGATCTCACAAAAATCCATCTCTTTGACTTTATGAATTAAGAGAATCTTTATGAGAATGTAGTTATAACTATTATTATTTTAGAATATATGTTTTATATGTTACAATTAAAAAATAAAATAAGCACGTAATGTAAAAGTAGTAAAATATAACAACTATGTTCTTGATACTCTCCTAACCTTGGAATGCATAAAAATTATCCAAACCATCACGTTATACAAGGTATCACAGAGTAAAATCATTGAGATATCAACCAAATTGTCCACAATTTGAACCCACCAGTCATTCCATGGGAACAAGCTGTGGCAGTGTCCTTCCATAAACATTTAAAACCATGAGAAACTTGTGGGGGTAGTTCTACCTAGGTACTCTATGAGTTGCAATCTAATCAACAGCAGTACGATTTTTGGATGTAATATCATACTTGCTAGGACTCCTTATGTAAAATGATGTGATGGTTAAGTGCCTGACTTCTAACTGAGAATTGGTGATTTTAACCCATTCAGCTGTTCCATGGAAGAGCCACTTGGCAACCTCCCCTTGTGAATATTATAGCCCCAAATCCCTATGCAACAGTTTTGTTTTGTCACATGTAGTCACTATGATTCTGAAAAGCCCCCAAGGCATCCAACAACAGCATCAGCAGCAGGAATGCCTTGTGTAGAGGTCACATACTCAACACACATTACTAAAAATTGAGCCTTCAAATGAGAAAATAAGTAAAACATTTCTTTTGGATTCAAAGTAGATACTCCAAAGCTGGCGATAAAATACATAAGGCCTGTATTCTTAGATGAGCCAGTGATTATAATATGCTTGGTGACATAGTCAGAAATGGCAAGTTAAAAAGAAACTATGACTAAATTCCTGAAGAATTGGTTTTAGCAGTAAGTAATTTTGGATTCTCAACTCTTAGATTTCTCTATAAGTTGTGCCATTAAGAAAGAAAAGAAGTACCAATCACTTACCTTTTGACATTTCAGTCATCTTGAAATGCATCCTGATTTCAGAGATGTTAAAATGTTGGGCAAAAGATAATAAAAACCAGAAGTAGAATCTTTTCATTTCAAGCAGAAAACTTAGGTTTGATTCCTAGCCAATGAGCCATGAATTCAACCACCACTTACTTGTCAGTGAGGCTTACATATTGCTGAATATATTTCAGCCGTGCTTCCAGGTTAAGGTGGACTGGGACGAAAAGCCTCGAGATCTACTTCCCAAAGTTCGCCAGTGAGAGCCTACGGACCCTAATAGTCTCATTCTTTTGACCTGAGTCTAGCAGAATCTGTGGCAGCTGACAAAAATAACAATATTAATTTATAAAAATTCAGTCATATGATTTATTTGTTGTTTGTCTTATTATTTGTTACTGTTTCTCAGAGGAAACCAACCTCCGACAACCGGAGGGCCAGAAGGCGCAAATATATGGCAATAATATATAAAGATTTTAACAAAGTCATAGAAGATAGGAAAGAGAGTAAAATAAAGGAGTCGGGTACCTTTTTTGGTTTCATGCCCACCTCAACTCCTCTTGACGGACCAGGCATAACTGGGAGAAATGAGAGAGAGCCTTTACTATCTTGGGACATTTATAAAGTAGCCTTAAGGCAGGCATATTCATTGGTTACATGTATCACAGGGTGGGTGGTATCTAGTTAAGGTTCCTCAGCTCACAGGTGAGGAAACCTGATAACCTGCATTGAGGGAAAGTACAGGGAGGGGAAAAGAACAAAAGGATAATGTCTGGTTCTTTAGGGAGATATAATCCCTTTAAGGCAGCATAGCTGTCAATGGGGAGGATTTGTGGGAATGATTTTTAAAGCAGGATAATGTACTTGGACTTTATCTCTAACTTACCAAAGTGGAGGTTTTCTAATGTGGAATACCAGCTTTCCAGATTCCCTCTGTAATAAGTTAGAGAATATAGTCCTCATCATATTTCCCCCGTGTTAGTTTCCCACAACTGTTTATCTACACTTCATAGCTAGGAAGTCTAAATGAACTAAGATTTCAAAAGTCTGATGTGGAGTAGACTTTTTTGGTGGCTGTTAATTTGGCATTAGGCTTTTTATGTCTGTAAAGATGTATAGTCTTGGAAATCCCCACAGGAGCAGTTCTACTTTGTTCTATAGGGTTGTTGTGACTTGGAATTGGTTCTGTGGGAATGAGTTTTGTTTTGTTTTTAATTTGGATTTTCTTTCTTCTTCCTAGAACTTGGCAATGTTAGTGTAATAGGAAGAGATTCCCAACAGCTTACTAATGGGGGACAACCCAATATATTAGCTTATAAAACTTTTTAAAAAAAGGAAAAGTGTTCATTGAAGTTAATAGTGTCAGGCATCATTCTTCCTATCTCCTTGGCCCATTTTCACTTACGTCTGAAGATATTTCTGACTAGTTCCAATGTGATGATTGACATTTAGAATGATATAATCTAAGCATCAAGAAAGTGTTGATATGTTTGCTATGTTAGTGTCTGAAAAGCACATTTTAAGAAAATTCTGAAATCCTTCTAAATTATGTTGCTTAAAGTCACCATTTCTAATTATGTGGGATTTGTTCTCTTCTACAGATGTCCAGTAAATGTAGCATTAATCAGAGAGTGTAGATCTTTTTAAAGAAGGGGTTGGATTTTGTGAGGTTTGTCAAAAGTGAGAATTTTTAATTAGTGATAAGCAATGAATGTTCCTCATAAACCTAGATTGTTTTATTCTTTTTCCAATCCTTTTATTGGGAGCTTTTATAGATAAAACCCAGAGTCTTGAACAATAAAATATTCATGGCTTTAAATTTTTTATTCATACTGTTCAGGACTTTCCGAAGACACATTAAATTGATAGGATGAAAAAATTTAAAAGAAGACTGTCCCTCACGCTCCGAGGAAGCCAGACTATTGATGAATCATTATCTGAATTGGCTGAACAAATGACAATTGAAGAAAACAGCAGCAAGGATAATGGTAAGTATTTGGAGAGGGGAGATACTCTACCCCCTTCTAATAGAATGTAAATTTAATTTTCAGTTAAGCTTATAATAACAAATCTATTCCTCTTTTTATTCCCTAATTTCTTAGAAAATTGCTTTTTTATTCTTAAATGTAACTTTTTCTTTCTGTATATTAATAAATTAGATCAAAATTATTGGACCTGTCCACTAACCTCGATGAATTCTTCTGTGCCATAAACCTTTCGTTTTTCACTTTGTTGCAAATAGTGACATCTGATAACTTGAATGTTTTCCTAACTTTATTAATAACTATTCCTAAATGAGCATGTAAATATTTTTGTTATTCTTAGAACTTAATACCATTTAAAAGTGCATAGAAAGTTTGTGAAATTCCTGCTTGTGGCTTCATCATAGTTTTGTCACATTGTATATACAGATTGCCAACATAGATGACAAGGTTCATCACATGAATGAATCTTAACTGTTTTCTCCTTTTATATTTATTACAGCCAGGCTTCATAGTATCGAAAACATTAACAGTAGGCATAAAGTGGTTCACATGTGTGATAATGCTTCTTAGAATGTAAATTAGATGTATGCAGATGCTAATATAAAATAAAAATTACTTGTTAAATTAAGTGCATTAAAAATACAAAATGTTGACGACATTTTTAGAATCAGGCTATGTATTCAGAGAAGAAATAGTCCTCAGAATGTTATAATAGCAACCAGGCAGGAGTTTACAGGAATGACTGGGAGTGTACTGAGATGTGTGGAGTATTTGGCAAGCCCTCCTTGCTTGTTCCTAAAATCCTGGTGTTTGAGATTTGTGACAGAGACTGAAAGTCTGCACATTCCTACTCTTCATGGAATTATAGAAGTTCCTTATATATTCCTAATTTAAATTCTTCTCAGATAAGCAGCTCCTGAATATTTTCCCCATTATGTGAGCTGTTTTTCCACTTTGTTGATACTTTTTAGATGATCTCCTCATTTATAATATAATCATATTATGAAGCAAAATCGATTCTTTTCTAGCAGCCATATAATGACAAATACTAACTTAAGAAGTAGGAGAGATACTGTTTATAATTTCACTAAGTGCCCTTGCTCTCCTTTCTCATACTCAGTCACATTCATGATTACTTTCCTGTTACTCTTGCATTCTCAGAGACAGGTGGTTCACATGCACACTCTAGAATAAGTTGAATGGGGAGGGACCCATTTGTGGAATAATAGTTCAGACACAATCTTGGAAAGGTTATAATGTAAACATTCGCTTATATAAATATGCAAATATACTTTCACTCATGTATTTCTACTGCCATCCAAATAGAATTTGAAGTATTACCATTATTTTTGAAAACATTTTGTCATACTATGAAAGCTTTAACTCAGAAGTATCTAATGTGAGGGGCTTTGGAAAGTTTGTAGAAAAATTCCATTATATTTCGATTCCCTTTTGCCTTGAACTCTTGAAAGACCACTAATATATAATTCACATTAAAGTGCCTCCCTACATAAGCTAGTGTGCTTGTATATTGACAGGTTGATTAAACTTAGGGAAAGATGGATCCCAGATTTATATTTAGATTTGATGGCAGCTAACAACCATCACCAGGTTAAAAATATGCTTGGTTGACTTAGCATACTGGTCTTAACTTAGTTTAGTTTTACTTGAATAAGATCATTCATTTTTTGTCCAAACTTTTGCAAAGTAAAAGTGTAAGATATATTTTTTCTAAGGCACAGCAAGGAAAAATAATTCTAAGCATCTCTATTTAATAACATAGTACTGAGTTTAATTTTTTTAACTTCAAAAATTAATTTACTACATTTTCTCAGAAAATAGAGCAGTGGTGGCATAGAGGTTAAATTTGACTGTTAACTGAAAGGCTAATGCTTCAAATCCAGTCTATTTTCATCACACAGCCTTGAAACCCTGCAGCGCAGTTCTACTCTGTTATTTAGGGTCATTGTAAATTAGAAGATTCAACAGCAGTGGGTTGACAATTTGACCTATCAATCCTACTCCAAGGAATATACTCAAAAGAATCTAAACAAATAATCAAAATGTGTTATATGCTGTGTTATTTCACTGCGCATCTAATTATAGAACTATTTTGCAATAATGTGCAATGAGACAATGGAGAAGTTCAATATCATCAGTCAAGACAGAGCTAAGATCTGACTGATGAACTGATGCTACAAATTTTAGTGGAGCATGAAGGAAATCAAAGAAAGCCCCCAAGAGTCACACACAACCTTGTATAATCCCACCTAAATTTGGAAGCCTTGTCAAGAACAGATTTGACACAATGAACACTAATTATCAAACCAGAACAGTTTGGGGAGGATGTTATGGATATCATACATGAAGAAAGTGAAGGATCATTGAAGAACTAGGAAAGAAGGAAAAGACAACAGAAGTCAGAAGAGACAATGAAACTTCCTCTTGAGCACAGAGTAGATTAAGCAAATGGAAGAAATGATGACTGAGCTAAACAGTAAATTTCAAAGAGTTCCTTGAGAATCCATGACAAAATAGTTGATGAAATGTACCAAGACCTGCAGCTAGAAAACCACATGGTAAGAAGACAGTTTCTCAAGCTGAAATAGGTAGGGAGAAAATTAGATTCTTGAGTTGCATTCATTACTGAAAGATCTAAGGACAAATCACTGAATGGTGTAGGAAACATCAAAGAAGATAGAAATAATATACAACGCCACTGCACTAAAAAAAATAATAAATAAAGTGCAACCATTTCCAGAGGTAGCCATATAATCAAGAATTACTAATACTGAAGGAAGAAGTTCAGGTTATATCAAAGACTTTGTCAAAAAGAAACATGGCTCCCAGAATTGACAAAATACCAGTTGAGATGCTCAGCAAATGGATGCAGCATTTGCAATCATTTTGTGTCAAGCAATTTGGAAATCAGCTACCTGGCCAACCAACTTTATGTCCATTTAAAAGAAAGACAAACAGAATGTTGAAATTATTAATAAGACATGCTAGCTGAAGATAATTTTAAAATTACTGCATCCAACAGATAATGGCCAGAATCTCAAGCTAGATTCAGAAGAGATAAGATGGAATGAGGGTAATATCAGATGGATTTTGCCTGAAAGTCAAAAAGGCCAGAAAGATGCTTACCTGTGTGGATGATGACAATTCATGGATAATATTGCAAAGAATGGTGATTCCAGAACCTGTAATTGATCAGAAAGCAAGCATTCAAACAAAGCAAGGGGGTACTACGTGGTTCCGAATTGGAAAGATGTGTGGAAGGATAGTATGCTTTCACTGTATATATTCGATCTGTGGGGAACTCTTGGCTCTATGAACTAAGCTTAGGGCTGGCTATAAGCTGGTAATTCAAACGTTATCACTCAGTGGAAGATAATATAATCATGGGTCAGAACTGGTTTGATAGCATTAGATTTAGGGTATTTTAATTCATCTGTATGCTGAAAAAATAATTTGAAAAGCTCTATTGTATGAAAAAATATATAGTATCAGGATTAGAGGAAAATGCATTAACAACCTGCAGTAAGTGGATGACATACCTTTCTTGCTGAAAATGAAAATGACTTTTAATTGTTGATGAAGATCATTATGTCCTTCTTTATGGATTAAACCTGAACATGAAGAAAATGAAAATTCTCAACTAGACTATTACGCAGCATCAAGATACACGGAGAAACAAACTTAAGGATTTCATTCACTTTGAATCAATAGTCAATGTCCTTAGAAGCATCAAGTACTATATTACATTGGATAAATCACCAAAAGACCTTTTTAACGTTTTCAAAAGCAGAGATGTCACTTTGATGACTAAGATGCTCCTGACCGAAGCCATTGATCTTTTCATTCACCTCATCTCTATGCATAACCCTTTTTTTAATTAAAAAAAAAGGTGGAGCTAATGGATTTGACATGATGTTATTAAGGAATATTAAATATACTCTGAAATTTCAGGACCAACAAAATCAGTCTTAGAAGAACTATAACTAGAATGCTCTGTAGAAGTGCCGATGGCAAGACTTCCTCTCTCTCGTTGTGTACATCACCAGGAAAGAACAGTAACTATAGCTAGAAAAGGATGTTTGGTAAAGTGTTTTTATTGAGTGAAAGGTCTATGAATTTTATATTTAAAATCCCAAATTTGTGAGACTAAAATTTAGAACCTATATTTTGATCTGTGCTTAAATACTTCTGTTTTATTCAGTAATTGACATAACAATGTTTGCATGTCTAATAAATTGTAAACTCTTTCAGACTAGAACCTTATCTTTTATAGTGTACAGCAGCCTTGTCATAGATAAAGACACATACTAGACAGGCCATAAATGTTGGAGTAGTACAGAAATAATATTAAAAATAAAATTAGCCAAATATAAGTGGGTTTTATTAGCAGTTTTGTGATTACTAACCAGTTTTGGTTATTTAAGAAATGTATAATTAATAGACTGACCTCAAATATAAAAACAGTGTGTATTTTATATAAATATATTCTCATAGAAATCATTTTCTTTCCAGTGCTTTACATAGATAGTTCAAGAAATCAGGTTAAATATAAAGGCTTCTATTAAAACATTTTATTTTGTTTTCTGTTTTGTTTCCTCAATTCTTATGTGATCCTGCATCTTGGGCTGCTAATGGAATGATATTTGGATGTTGTGAACCACAGAACCTATTGTGAAGAATGGCCGGCCCCCAGCGTCTCACAGTATGCATTCCTTCCTCCACCAGTACACAGGCTCTTTTAAGAAGCCCCCTTTGCGGAGACCACACAGCGTTATTGGAGGAAGCCTCGGCTCCTTCATGGCAATGCCCAGAAATGGAAGCAGATTAGGTAATTTGATGATTTAATTATCTGATGGTAATTTCTGTATATCTTTAGGTTTTCTTTATATGGAAGTCAACCAAATTTATAGTCTGATTTCTCTTGTAAAATACAAATCAAGTTGAGGGTAGGAGCAGTCACAGAAAGAGGAAAAGTTCAAGAGAGACAACAATACTCATACTTCAGAGGACACTATTTGAAAACTCATCCACCAGGAAAGAACAAAAACACTTAAGGTTTCAGCTGATTGACTGCTTGGGATGGTATTTCATTTAGGATCGTGACCCAATTTAGGTAGTAGTCCTTCAAATCATTACCCTCTTATATCTCTTATGTCTTCTAAATATCTGGGCATGTACATATGTATCTATATATGCAAGTTTCTATTTTTGTTTTGTTGGCGTTTTACTTATTTCTGAAGTTCCTGAGAGTTTTATTCTGTTGCGTACTTCATACATGCATGCTGACTCTTAACAGCATGAATTATTTCCTCAGGTATTCCTTTTGTTTTGGCGTCTTGAGCTTATTTCCACTGAAATTTTATCTGTGGGAGTCCTGTGCAGCCTGCATCCCTACAGATGACACCTTAATGGGAAAGTTTTCCTTTGTTTCTTTTACCATTGCAGCTCAGAGCTGACTCACTTTGGTTCATGAGATGATTGTTAAATTTCCAGCAGTTTAGTAGGCTGGTTGTTAATATAGCCACTATTAAAATTTAAAGTATATAAACATAGGCTTTAGTAAGTTTAATGAAAAGCAGAGGTAATAGTACTCAAAACTCATTATTTTCTAATTATTTTACTATTATTCATATCCTTGGGGTTATTACTATTATAGCTATATAGTCAAAATACTATGTAATGGTGTGCACTGCACATTTTTTTCCAACTACCTTTCAATCAGAATCACCTTGATGGTAACAAGTATGACTTAAAACAATACAAAATAAAAGTTCAGCGATGTTATATTGGTAGTATAAAATCCCATGGAGGGAATATTTGCACCATGGAAATGAGAAAGCACTGTCGGGGCTTGACTTGGCTACAGACAGATCTTGACTACAGCTCAGGATTCTGTTGATTGGTTAGACCAGGCATTAGCAGACTTTTCCTAAAGGGTCGTATAGTAAATATTTCTCTCTTTGGACCACATGGGGTCTGTATTGCAACACTTTCTTCTTTTGCTTTATAACCCTTTAAAATTAGAGAACCATGTCACTTAAGACATTTGCTTACCTTATTGGTGCTAGTGGGCTGTTACCAGAAGCCTGACAGTTTAAAACCACCAGCTTTTCCTTAGGAGAAATATGAGACTGTTCCTATAAAAATTTACAGCTTCTGGAAACCGTCTCACATAGGTTTGCTGTACAGTAGAACCAACTCTGTGGATTTTGGTTTGGTATGTGGTCTTAAGAAAGTGATGTTGGAAATGTTAGTAATACATTCAAAGTGTGTTGCTTATACCTATCAACATTGTGAAGGGCATAATAATTAAGCCAACTAATAATCTTGTAATACACCAAAACTATTACTTGATTCAGTAAAGAAGTTGCTCACATCATTGACAAACAAGTGAAGTTCATACAAGCTTTCATTATTTTACTTTTGTCAACCAATTGTCACATCAGAACTATTCTTTGTTAATGGCACTTGTTTCTTGAATCAGATGGTACTCAAGTATTTTATCCATAGTCTGAAATTAATAAGCTTGTTTTTGTAGTCTCTGTGCAATAAGCAAAGACTCTTTTTCCTCCAAGTCTGCTCTTTACTGAAGGTGTGGTCCTTTGAGCATCATAATTTTATATGGGAAGGTCCTGTTTTCAACTCAAGTACCTAATGTGGCATCCAAACCCAAGCACTTTTTTTTTTTAAAACCAAGATCAGCAAACCATCCTGAGAAAGTGACAGAGACCGTTGAATCTTAACAGCGTTGGGTTTTCTGTTTTCTGCTTTCCTAGGATTGTCTACACTTTCTAACAAATTCAACTATGCATTGAAACATTTATATTACATTTATACAACATTCCCTTGAGGAAGGGAGGTTTTCAGATTTTGCTAGAAATTGAAGGCATGGTTACATTTATTTTTAACACTTTAAAAATGTAACAAAAGAATGCATGACTTCAGATGTATCCGATACCAAATTTTAACAGGTAAGGAATCCATCAATAAAAAGTAAAGCAAAAATAATTGACTTCAGTTCTAAGTTAAGTTTTGCTCAGATCTCAGCATAAGCTTTCTCCAGACATCTGTGCTAAATCGCAGTGCACCCTTAAATGACACAGTGAGCTGTTGAAAACCATGACTATTTCTAACTACTTAGCAGCGGGAATAGGACTTTTCTCTCTATTTGAGACATATAGAGAGAATAATGACAAGAGAGGCACTTGAGATCCAGGCGATTTGTTTCTGGTTTACTCTTCTTGATTGATGTTTTAAAGGATGATGAATAGATATAAATATGAGAAAGAGGTCTGAGAACTCCGTGGGATAAGCACTGGATTGCTTACAGCAAGGTTGGTAGGTCACAAACACTGTCCAGGGTTGCTGTGTGTTGGAATCAACTCTGACAATAAGTTTGGTATACAAAAATGCAAGCTTGTTTTTAATATCATCAAATGGAGTTAATTTCCCTTGCTTGTACTTCCATTTAACTGTTACCTGTGTTAAAACAACTGGTGGCAAATTACAGGAGCCCTGGTAGTGTAGTGGTTACATGTGCTGCAATCCAAAGGTCATCAGTTCGAAACCACCAACCACAGAGAAAAATGGGCGTTCTACTTCCCAAAATAGTTAACATTCTTGGAAACTCACAGGGTCAGTTCTTTCCTATCCTGTAAGATCTCTATGACATAGTATTGACTAGATGGCAGTTAAAACATATGCTATAACCCACCTTATATTTTTATTTGGAAGTGTTTTTGTTCCCAACAGATTTTAATAGAGGTAGAAACTTTTTTTCAGAATTTTGATATAAAGTAGATAGTCAATAAATATTTTTTTAATTTTTTAAAAAAGCACTTCAGGGTGAAAGGGGAAAAGCTGCATTAGCAGCTTTAGAAAAATATTTTAGTATTGTTTCTTTAAAGACTATCCAAAGAACTAGTTCTACTCAGCATTTAGAGACAATGGCACATTACTTAATGGAAAGAATACTAAATGAAATCAGAAACAAATGAATAGATATAAAGCCAGTTTTCTATTCCAATTCTGCCTGTAAGCTGTGTGACAATTGGAAAATCATGTAACCTTTCAAAGTTTCAGTCCCCAGATCTGGAAGAGGAGAGAACTAATTAAATAATCCTCAAGTGTTATTTCCAGTCTAAATTGTATTACTTATCTCTTGATTGAATTGTTGGGTAGATTTTTTTCCTGGTAATTTTTTGATAATCTGAGAGTGCAAAAGGATTCCTTTCTACTTTTTAAAATAATGAATTACATTTAAATCTATGAACTGCTTATTTATAAACCCAGAAATAGAAAAGGTTTTCTATGCTTTGATTTTTATCTATCAACTCTCTACCTCTTACCTAGTATCAACAAGCTATGTAATAAAATAGCTTTTACCACTTCCTCTTTTAAGATTGATGATCTCATTTCTTATTCGAGATATTGTTCATGAAAACTTGAAAATGGGATCAGATGGTGAGAGTGACCAAGCTTCTGGGACATCATCTGATGAAGTCCAGTCTCCTACAGGAGTCTGCCTTAGAAGTCGCATACATAGACGGATCTCAATGGAGGTAACTTCTCATAATACAAGTATACATACGTGCACATGTGTGCTTGTGCATGTAAACAAATGCACGCAGATACCAAATAGAGCAGACATCCGTTTAAATTGTTCAAGAAAGCAAATGACACTTGTTGTTTTTTCCTCTTTAGGATTTAAATAAGCGGTTATCATTGCCTGCAGATATCAGAATACCTGATGGGTATCTTGAAAAGTTGCAGATAAACAGCCCACCGTTTGATCAGCCAATGAGTCGGCGGTCTCGTAGAGCTTCCTTAGTAAGTTTGCAGTCTTCTCTGTGACTGTCAGATCTGCTTTGCTGGATGGCGGTGTTGGTTGCTCTCACATCGATTCTAACTCATAGCAAACCTGCCTAAAGGGGTTTCAAGCCTGTGACCTTTCAGAAGCAGATCAACAGACCTGCCTTCCAAGGTGCCTTTGAGTGAGTTTGAACCACCAACCTTTCCGCTAGTAGTCAACTACTATAAAAATGGCATTGCAGAGACATCTTTCCCCCTTTAACTTCAAGAGGGCCAAGAATCACCATCAGCAGTATCAATCAGTTCATGACTGATTATGAGGCAAAGAGCTGCCTTTTTTCAACTTTTTTTTAAACCAACTCTGGCACCAACTGTCCTTCCCATGGCATTCTCTTCTTTGCTGTTGGGTTTACGTATTCCTTGCAGTGACTATGTAAAACTTTACTGACAGGACTTACAATTGTGGGGTATTTTAGGGAAGCTAACATAATTGAGATCAAAAACGATTCACATGGTAATACTTTCTTTTAGAAGAATTGGTACCAGGGTAATCTCAAGGAGTTGGAGATTAAAGGTGTCCCAAGTATCCAACTCTTTCAAGAGGCTGTTTTGCTCTATTCCCATCACCCCTTCCTCTATGGAATATGTTCCCTCAGCTCCCTGGGTTCTGCATTCACTGCAACATCTCACAGAAACTCAACAGAACTTTAAGGAAATATCTGACATGGTTGTGAGTGCTGTTCAGTCCCAAATCCGAAGGTTAGCTAAAGGTGAGTCAAATGCAGGATCTAGAGCGAGAAGCCAAAATTGTCAGAAAATCAAAAGTTTCCTTGCTCTACCAAAGTTCCGTCAGGAAACAGGTCACAGAAGGGGAGGTTTGGAGATGTGCTTTTTATCTTTTAGCCAACCATAACCCCAGGGAAACAAAGGAAGGTAACATGAGTCACACCCTCCAATAATAAAAAATCCCACCCTAATCCTTTAACAGAGAACTCCCTCCAGATTGGTGTAATCACAAGCACAAAGGCTAGAATCTACAATAGATTATGGCAAATGAGAATATAGCTAGAAGGAACATATTAAGTAATGGACTACATCTCAATGCAGAATATAGTTCTTTCATTAGCATAGTTTTGTTTTAATTTTTTCTTATCCATGCTGGTAGGTAGTTAAGCCTTTCTATGGCCTTAGCTAAATTTATTGAATTGCCTTAAAAATTTTACAAGTTTTTTTAATTGTAAGTGTTTAAACATACATTTTGGAATAGAATTGAAACTGTATTATGTTTAATTTTTGGTAAATTTTATTGCTATTGACTAGATAGAATATGTATTAGCTATATAAATGTATATACTATATATGATACAGAAAAGTACAAACCATTATTGTGCCACTCAGTGAAATTTTGCACATTAACATACCTGTGTAACCAGTGCTCTTATAAATAAAACATTCTAAAAATTCCAGAAACCTCCTCCTGCCACCTTTCTGTTCACTTTTTACTGCCCACTTTCTCAATTACTAACCATTATCTCTGACTCCTAAAGAGGCTAATTTTACCCATACGTGTCCTGGTATTTTGATTATATTCTTTTTATAATATATGTTAATATATGGAAAGACTTAAAAACCCTGATGATTAAACTAAAACCACTGGTTTAGAGTCTTCATTCACGGTTTTACTAATGCAAATTTACTAATGCAGATCAAATCTATTCCTTTCCCTTTCTTATTCTAGGAATACGTAAGAGAAAGGTTAGGAAGTCCTGATGTCTCAGAAATAATAAATACATCATAGAGTGTGGAAGTGATATTCAGAATCCAACCCTAACTTAGTAACTTATCTTTGGACATATTATGATGATAACAGCATAGTGGCACAATGATACTAGCAGCAGTTTTGTAAGACAAAAAAAAATAAAAACAAGCAGATAAAGAGTTCTCAATATCTCTTCTGGTCCTTCGTAATTGAAGGGAAAGAACACACCTTATTGATAACAACAATCACTTTGTGATTCTCAGAGAGAATTGGTGTTACAGAAAACTGCTTCTTTCAGCCCTTCTTATATGCACATACTTTTAGAATAACATAAAGAACCTGTCCACATACTTCATTTCTCTAGGAGCTCAATTAAAACTGTGTTGCAAGCATGTTAGTACATTGTTATACTGTGGGACAGTGATTTTATTGCCTAATCCAAAGAAATAAATACCTAATAACTTTCAATATCATTTATAAGTTACATTGCATTATAGGAAGGCTATTATCAAGTGTCAGGATTAAAAAAAATTCTTAGCAACTTCTGCTATCAGAGAGCCAACTGAACAGGAACTTGCTTAGAATTGCCAATAAAGCAAAGTATTCTCTCTTGGAATAATGAAATATCAGAAAAGAAACTAACTATCTGCATTTTTCTGGGAAGCAAATTTGATTAAAGATGTTTATATTGAGGTAAAAAGTTAATTATACCATTACTTTGGTTATTCCCTTTTTAAAAATGCTTAACTTTAGAAAATATTTTAAAATAAGATAGAACAGTGTAGATTCTGATCTCACAAAAGCAGGAATCATCTCTGTTTTCTTCATTCTCTCCCTAGTACCCTGCTTGTATTTGGTAAATGTTGAACAAATGAGCTTTGTCCTTTGTTCTCTGAATAATTTCTGTAGGAGAGCATGTCAACAAGCTAGTCTTTATATGTGTTGTTAATTTTGTCAGCAGATAAAAATGCAAGTGAAATTTTCAAAAATTTCCATTTAAAGACCTAGTAAGTTATCTTTGGGTAGAATTATTAAACACTTAAACTTAGAAATGATTAAAATGGGGGGTGGGTAGGCTGAGTGTGCTTTACTCCTGCATTGAGTTCTGGCAGGCTTGAGTAGCTGTCCCATTGGTCTGAATTCTCTGTTTGCCTCCATGAGTAGAATTGAGTTGCTGTTTGCTTTATTAATCTATTAATTCAATTTTAAATTTAACTTCATAATTACAATGCCATATACTTTAAACAAATAAAATAGACTTTTAGCATATTGATATGATGCCTTTGCGGCATTTCATTCTGTAAAAAGTGACTCTTTGTAATGGTAAAATTTTGATACATTCCTTACATACTTTATATACCCATATGAGATGGTAATCTCTGTAACATTTTTATCTTTACAAACTTTAGTTTACTACTTTTCAAAAACACAGCTACTATTTTATCATAGTTGCCAGTGGAATAAAGTTTATCTGCTGTTTTATGGTGGCATTAATATTCATTCATGTAAGATTAAAAAATGAATGAGAAAAAGTCCCTATTCTAAAAAGAAAATATTTCTAGCTGACAGTCATATTTTCCCAAGTACTCCTCAGTGTTATAAACAAAAACCAACCAAATTCACTACCGTCAAACTGATTCCAACTCCTACCCACCCTGTTTAGGGTTTCTGAGACTGCTTCAACTTTTTCTTTTGGAGGAACTGGTGGTTTTGAACCACTGACTCTGTGGTTAGCAGTCTAGCACCTAACCCACAGAACCAGCCTTTAACTCACAAAAAAAGGTTCAACTCAAAAACAGGCTTTCCTGGCCCTGTTAAATCCAAGGCAGAGGTGTCAGCTCAGAAGATTAGACAATTGTATTTTGGATTCCAGAGGGGAGTAATCTTGACAGATTTCCTCAAAGGGTGCATGACAATCAAGAGAGTTTATTATGAAGACATTTCAAGAAAATCGAAAGTAATTTTTGTTCCCCGAAGTCTTAGAACATTAAAAATGAACAAGATTTGAGCCCCTTGGGTATGGCAAAACTACCATTTTGATGTGGTAAAATAGCTAAATTCTCCAGGGAAAGCTTAGGTGGAAACACTACCTTCAGAAGCCTATAATCTTAGATGGAGGCTATGTGAAGAAGCACTAGCTTCACAGTTTGATATTTGCATTTATTAACGAACTAATAAAAGTATTTATGATTTTGTAGCACCACTTTTAAATTTATCCTTGTATATATCATTGTAACATAAAGATAGGAACATAGCTTCCTGTTGACTATTCAACTTTGGACATTTAGAAAATTATTCCTGTTTTTCTAAAGCTGTTTTCTTAATCCCTGTATTGGTGTCCCTGCACCCATTTATTCCTAAATTGTTCATACTTGTTCTCTTTGCTTATTTTGTTGTTTAGGTTTTTAAATATTGTTTTTTAATTACATATTTAGTTATTGTCCATTTGCTACATCCAAAATTGGCAAGCAAGTACTTATACTTGTCAGGAGGTGGCAGGTAGCAAAAATTATACTTCTATTCCTTCTTCCATATCTATTTCTTAGTTCATTTCTGAGTGGTTTTCAGTTGTTGTTCGTGTTATTTGTATTATATTTTTGTTGGAAAAGCTGAAAAACAAAATAATATTTTATGGCTTGCAAAACTTCCTAGGGAACTCAAAAAGCTGGCGAAATGGGGAAATTGGGAGCTAATAATAATCGATATAAGGATGAAGAAAATGTTTTAAAATCAATTGTGGTAATCTTTGCAACTGTGTTTTAACATATGATATGTTAAAAAGTTTTTCTAGAATATTAACTAGATCTATGTAAAAGATGGATTGCTAAGTTCCACTGTGAATGTTGATAGTTTTGAATCTGAATATTACAATATAAATTATATTTTTTAACTTGACAGATACTTGCCAGTTGTTTTATTATATTTTCCTGTTCTATTTAGCCCAACATAGTGTTCTAGGTTGAGGAAAAAAATTGAAATTTTAAAAATAAACACTAAGCTTATACAGATATATTTTTTTTAATTGTAGTCAGAAATTGGGTTTGGAAAAATGGAAACCTACATCAAATTGGAAAAGCTTGGAGAAGTAAGTGAATACCACGCTCCTCCCCACCCCACCCCCGCCCCCCAAGAAAACAAACAGAAAACTACAATGTTTTGTTGTTGCTGCTGTTGTTGGTTGTTCCTTCTTGTAAATCTAGTTTTTGCCAACCTAGGGGAAAAATGTAATCACTGCATAACAGACAGTGGGAAGCCCTTCAATCCTTAAATTTAGTCCATCAATGTCAGAGGAAATGAATGTTGTTTTGTTTTTATGACTCTGTATTCTTTTATTACAACACAAAGTACTGTGCTTTCCTGGTAACAAAGTAGACACTTGTTTGTTACTTGGACTCCTGGGAGTTAACTGTATTGTCATCTAGGAAATAGCATGAGTTCAGACCTTTGAAAAAATCAAAATTTTTTTTTTTTTTTAAATAAAAACAACTCATTGAAGGTCAAGGAAATCTTTGGTAATACCTTGGTTTCCTTGAACACACTAGGACCGGCTGATTGTGCAGTAGCCTGCTCCCCAGCATGAGAAAGGGCAAAGAAATCAATAGAGTCTGTTAGTAGGAAAACCTTTGAGGGAATTTGAGGACTAACTGAGCAAAGAGAGTTTACAGAGTCTGGAAACATGGGTGAGATTTTTATAACTCAATAATACGTTTTCACTTTTCAAATAATATTCTCAAACACTCCTTTCAATCCCCACACACCATTGCAGGTAAAAAAAGATTTTTGTATTTAGAGCTATAAATCCAATCATTAATCTAAAATAAAATTTCCCCCAAATAAATTAAATTCTCTCTTTTCATTTCAGTACTTTAGAGACACTTTGTCAGGTTATAAGAACATGGAAACACATAGAACTGAACATCCTTTTTGCTGTAAGAAAATCAAGATTGATGGTTGTGCTGTTTTCTTTGCAAGACGGAATTTAATATATGCATATAAATTCAATTAGGGCTTTCTATTATATAGATCGGATAGGTTGATGCCCATGATACTTTTGCTGTGTCTTCTAAAAATATTTTTTAATAGGGTACATATGCAACTGTGTATAAAGGCAGAAGTAAATTGACGGAGAATTTGGTGGCATTAAAAGAGATCCGATTGGAACATGAAGAGGGTGCTCCCTGCACAGCTATAAGAGAAGGTATAATTTGATTCTTTTCATTAGTAAAGTGGATCATTAAGTTTATCTAGAACACTATAAAAACCAAAGCTGTATAAAGGTTCTTTTTTGTTTTTGTAAGTAAAAGAATTTAGATATAGAAATAATAGAAGAGTAGAAGATAAATTTAGACTTTAAAAAAGTTAATTTATAGAGCTGATATATCCAACAGAAATGGCTTGGACTAAACTGTACATGGGAGAAAGATGAACTCCTCTAAAGATTATAGTCTAGGCAGCTCAGAGGAGCCTGACCTATAATATTGTTAGGACTTAGACTCTACACAACGGCAGTGGATTTGTACATGTGTATGTGTTAAGTTTTCTAATAAATATTTGACATAAGGAAATGTTATTGGTTCATGGGAAAGCTGATTAAATTAATATATCTCTATTATTTATACCCTAAAATTATAGAAAAATTCATATCATCTTATAAAGAAAAAACGAATTGTTCAGAAAATGCTATGAGGTAATTGGCTAGCAATTTGGGGCAAGGGAGTACCTTACACTTTATATCCAAATGAATTCCAAAGGTTAACATTAAAAGAGGCAGAATATGATTTCAAGAGTATTAGGCTGATATTTGCGAAAACTTTTAAGTATCTTAACATCAAACACAGAAACATTTTTTTGGAAAGGTTACTAAGCTTGATTCCACTAAAATTTCCAACACTAATATCCCTGGGGAAACATGAATTAAATATAAGAAAATCTTAATCTCAGTCATATCATGTTTTTCACAAAGACTGTTTTTAAAGACTGACTACTGCACACTAAATAATTGACTTGCTTTTTTGTTTTGCAGTTTCACTATTAAAGGATCTAAAACACGCAAATATAGTAACATTACATGACATTGTTCACACTGATAAATCTTTGACTCTGGTCTTTGAATATCTGGTATGTATTTCATTTTAAAAGAATAAACTTTTAACATTGCTTTAAAAATTGTAATAAGCTGGGGCTTCTGAACAGCCCCCAGAGACATTGCTGTCTCATTGTTTGTGTATAATTAAGTTTGTGTGTGATTCAGCCAGTAATTTTCCTTGAAAAACAACTTATTTAAAATATAAGTAAATACTGCTGATTGAATGTGCCATGCATTCTGAACATCATAGATCACTTAATGAAGTACTATTGTTTACTTATTTTTAGGACAAAGACCTAAAACAGTACATGGATGACTGTGGAAACATCATGAGCATGCACAATGTAAAGGTACGCTTTAAGGTCTAGATTTACATTTTATTTACAGCCTACACAAACACTGCATAAGGAAATGTGTTGGCTCTCTAACTATTCTGATGCAGACTTTTCTCCTTGGCACTTTAAAGAAGTTATTGCCCTCAGAAAATAATTACTCAGCACCTCTACTGTGCTCGCATTTCTTCTAACTACGCCTTTTTGGGTAGAACTCGTTACAATATTACAAGTCTTTTAGAAACTAATTTTGATATTTCCTTTCACATCCTAACACTGATTCTATTTGGAAGAGAATATACATCTGTTTATAGGTATAGTCTATTTTTCTAAAAAGAATGTGTGTCCTTTTTTCAGGCCGCCTTTAAAGGACAGACTTCCTAATAAATTTTAAGAGAATATTTAGTTTAAAAACACAAAAAAACAAGAACCAACTTTTCAAGGTGGTAATTGTGTTAGTCTGGGGAGACTAGAGAAACAAATTCATAGACACTCATATGTGCATAAGAAAGAGCTTTATATACAAGAGTAATTGAATATTGAGAAAACATCCCAGCCCAGTCCAGAACAAGTCCTTAAGTCCCGATATTAGCCCATATGTCCAATACCAATCTGTAAATTCCTCTTCAGACTCACACAACACATGTAATGGTGCCGAATGCCAGAAGATGACAGGCCAGTGGATGGAAAATCTTGTGGATGCAGTGACAGTGGAAGCATCTCAGCACTGGCAGGGGTTTCCACATGGCTCCTTCAACCCCAGGGCTCTAGCATAGCTCCCTGTTTTCTTCTCAACAGAAATGTCTCCCAGGCAGTGTATCTGTGTCCTGCCTTCAGTAAGCTACTTATCTCCTTAGCGCCTCCAAATGAGGTCATCAAGCCGCAACCTGAAAGGCTAAACCCCTTTACTCTTAAGTCTCAAGTTGACGACAAATTTTGTAACTACCACAGACCACCCCTTGTAATTTGACATGTTTAGACAGCCCTTTAGCCAGATACAATTTTCAAACAAACAATAATGAAATCATATCTGTACCTAAACAGGATAAAACTAAAATGTATACAATTCAATATATGCCACCCTCATTTAAATATAACATTCTATAAGCGAATAAAACAAAAATATCCTATGCCTAACAATTGCAGTTACCATATATACTCGAATATAAGCCGAGTTTTTTCAGCACATTTTTAATGCAGTTTTTGTGGTAAAATTAGGTGCCTCGGAGGATATTAGGTAGACTTATACTCAAGTATATACGGTAAGTAACACCTACACCTTAATCCTATAATCCTATGAATATATTCCAGCACCTATGAAAGTCAGTATGTCAACCACTTCATGCCTTTATCCTCCCCATTTTGAGTATCCTCTTTCTATACTGCCCACTTACATCAACCCAGTGCTCTGAGGGGACAATGATATTCTTTGATGTAAAGAATCTTCATTTCAGTTGGAAGCTTGTGAAGTCCACATCCATAAGCAAAGTCATATCAGGACAGTCCGTCCATAAAGTTAGCAGCACTATGCACCAGTTCACAAGCTCATAAATCTTCTCTTCATCTGGTCAGGTTTTGTTAACTCAATGTGGCCTCCCTCACTTAGCCTCACCAGTGTGTTCATAGGTCACCTTGCTTTTAGACCATGGGTCCTTTCACATATTCTCAACAACCCTAGCCCTCTTGGGCTAGGTCATGAACCTTAGACCAGTCAACCCGCTCTCATCTTCTCTAGTTCCTGTAAACCAAGTCCACAGGTGTCAGTGGCCAGACTTAACCCATCTCTTTATTGCTGCTTTGCTCTCACTTCCACTCAAGTGGTTCCAGGTGGTTACTTAGCAAGCATTTCAGCTTCTCACTGGTTCCATTTAATAGTTCAGCCCTAGAGCGGAGAGTTTCTTGGGGCTCCAGATTTTTTCCAGCTTTTGACAAAAGTCACTAGTTCGAGATTCAAAGAGTTCCTTTTTCTTCAGTCTGTCAACCATCCCTTAGGCAAGTCGCTCAGAATGCAAATGTTCTATGTACTTGAAAGCACTGGGAGGGGCATCTCCATCCTTTCAGAGCCTTCTTTGCAGGTATGTCCTAACCCATTTAAAGATTCAAGTTTTAATGGCTGAAGGCAAGGCATACAAACTCTATTTTAATATTTCTATCAATCGTATCAATAATAAGCAGAAAAAAAGCAGTATAAACAAAGTAGAATCAGATACTAATCTCAATTCTTAAAGCAGTCAAGTTCAATTTTACTTAGTTTATCTTAATCCTAATCTAAACTATTCTGTTGATCTCAAATATGGGATTAGGCCTCTGACAGCATCAAGCCAGAGCCAGGCTTTCTGTCACCATTTTGACCTTCCGTCAGCCATTTTTCCTGAGCAGTTCTGAGAAATTCAAGGGGCAATTTTGTCCCCTGAGCTCAAAATATACATTAATCACATTCATTTTTGCCATTTCACACAGGAATAACCAAAGACTACAACCAGTGGAAGAATCAAAATTTTGACTTCCCATGTTTTTTCCAGAAAACAGCCCAATAAACCACATGGGCATAACTGACCTTTGGTTAGTCAAAGAAAAAATACTACCATGAGGCAGAAGTCAAGCAAACATATACACTCCATCTTTATGATTTGTTTCTCTAGTAACCCAATGCCAAGGTACCATAGTGTGTTATGCCGGGGAGACTAGAGAAACAAATTTATGTAACTACCACAGTAATTTATGAATAAAGGCAATAGGAAAGTGTGGGGTCAGATAAAACCCCAAATAATTAATGGAATAAAACATATAGTACTTTTCTTGCAGTGGTTCTTTTGGCCTGCTTCATTGATATGTACCCTAAGTTTAGTAAAGATTTATTCTTCCAAATTCAACCAACAGTTTGTGGAACTTATTCTGGAAATCGGCTACTCCAGCTATGTGTTTACAGGTATAGAGATATTTTCAATTCTGCAGATAGTAACTTCGAACATATGTAACCAAAACCCATTGGCATCAAGTCAATTCCGGCTCATAGGAGTTTTCAAGACAATTCTTTATGGTGCCCCCTGGCTTATAGTTCTCCCAGGGAGTAACTGATGGCTTCTAACTGCCAGCCTTTCAGTTAACAGCAGGTAAGCACTGTAACCACTGTATCTCTACATATTAATTATTAGAGAATAAGTTGGTAGATACATAGAAGATAATTATTAGAGAATAAGTTGGTAGATACATAGAAGAGCCAGCTACTAAAAGAGAACTCAGTACATATACCTTGCTAAAATTTTTAAGCAGGGCTCTAAGTGTAAGTTTCTATATGTTCAAGAAGGCCTCAAAAACATGTGGACAGGGAACTAAAAGGAGATAGAATTTTTCCATGAAATTTTTGAAGCCCCCTCATATACCTACTCCGAGAGAATTGTTTTCATCGTTTTTTACACTTCATGTTACAAGGTGTTGTGGATCTCATTTGTAAATGAGGTTGACCTTTGAACAACATGGAGGTGAGGGACACCAACCTCCTATGCAGTTGAAAATCTGCATCTAACTTTGGACTCATTCAAAACTTATTAGCCTACTGTTGACCAAAAGCCTTACCAATAACATCAAACAGTCAACTAACATATAATCTGAATACTGTATGCATTACATACTGCACCAGCAAAAAACTGTTTCAAGACAAATTGAAATGGTGTCTTGCAGCAAGTGCAAGATATTATGTCCTGCTGGTGTAGCTGCCGGGATGGCCACAGGAATTTCCAGCTTTTAAAAAATTTTTTACAAAGAGCCTTATGCTGGATTTACTTACCACAGCTGTAGACCTCAATTTATAGTACATATCAAGCAATCATCTTTTTCTTGTAATGTCTTGACTTTTCTCTGCTTTTGGGGGGGAGCATTTCTAGAAGTACTAGTGGCACTTCCTATGGGTCCCATGGTGTTATTTTGTTTTTACAGTATTATAATAAGCACAAGAGATCACGTGTTACTGCAATATATCACATACTGGAGAGACATCATGCAGAGATTATTAATGTCATCACATGTTTTTAAACATAAATCCACATGTCAGTGGACCCGTGCAGTTCTCACCCATGTTGTTCAAGGAGCAACTGTATTTCTGTTATTTTTATTTGCTTTTTAATGCGTTCATATTACAATAATTTGGAAACACTTCATCATAATTTTAATAAGATTTGAAAAAATCTCCTTTTTTCCCCCTGTAAGCCAGGTCTACATGGCTGACTTAAGTTGGATAGCATTTTATTGCTTATGTATTTAAATGGCCCTTATACTCTCTAAAAATAAAAAGTAATAGAGTAAAATTTAATTTCAGAATTTTCAAAGCATAGAAATATGTAGCATTTAGAAATGGCGCAGCTCTGAATTCATGCAGGCTTTTTTCACCAACTGCCCTGGCACGTCAGTGTGCTAGTTCTGCTTTTCACCCGCAAGTTAAGCTGAGGGACTCTCTTGAGTCATCTGCACTAAAAGTGTTCTTTCCTGTTAAGTGTCAAAGATCTGTGTTCCACTTCTCTCTTTCCACCGAATTCTATAAGAAAAAACTTAACAACCTTTAGTTTTATAAGATTTGGTTCCCTCAAAGAGTCCTTCAGTGCTAATCCTTTCTCAATCCTAGTGGATTTGAAGGCTGAGTAGGAGGCACTAAAAATAAAATGCCCATGAGGTGGGTGACAAGCTGGTTTGGGCTATTTTTATAATGCATAATTTACCAGAGCTGTACAGCACCATTCTCTTTGATACTTCAGGGGCTGTTCTGTTTGTTTGTTTGTTTGTTTGTTTTTTCATAAAATCACCAGTTCTGATGCTTTACTTTAAGGGCATTGGCCACATTTATTTATTTAGAGGTGGTGGTGGTGGCGGCTATTTATTTTGCCAAAATTTATAGTCCAAATATAAACCTTAGAGCCTAATAAGTTGACAGGGATATGTTTATTTTAAATTCTTTTCTGTAACAAGTGAGAAATTACTAACAAGACTATTCCATTTCACTTTATATTGATTTCCATTAATAGATATTGTAAAACTTAAAAAAAATAGCAGATGTGTCAAATAGAATAACAAATTGTAAAAGTAAGAAAACAGTTATATGCAGGAAAGGCTTTCTATTTTTCTTCTGTTCTAACAAGACCAGTTTTTTTTTCTTACTATAATGTATGGTTATAGAAAGTATGCATTGTTATCTTTAAGACTAATTTCTATTTCTCTTTTTTTAAGCTGTTTTTATACCAAATTTTACGTGGTTTGGCATATTGCCACAGAAGAAAAGTGTTGCACCGAGATTTGAAGCCACAGAACCTCCTCATTAATGAAAAAGGAGAGTTAAAGCTAGCAGATTTTGGTATGGAATGTGAGAGATCTTTATAAAGTACTTTCAGGGTGATTAAGTCTTAAAGAACAACTCTTGTCACAATAAGTGTCATCACTATCGTGTGTTTAGACATTTTCTCTGTAGACCAGAGTGAGGTTTATGACAGAACCTTGGTGGGTGAGTTAATTTTTGTGATCATACGCTTCTTATTAGTGGCAAATGCAAAACTTTACTTAGGGTGTGATTCCCTAGAGTAGAGTCTTTAAGATCCTCAGGTGGGGCGGGGACGGGGGTCTTCATGGTAAAATATATCAACATGCTTATACCAAAATGTTATTTCCCCTTTTCATTGCATAAGTATTTCCTCTGATGATCCCCAAAATGTCAGGTACAGCTACTGGTAGTCACTATGTTTTTCACCACTCAATACGTGTAGAAATAAAGTACTGGTTACACTCTAAAAGGTGTGTAATGAAATAGTATCGTTTATTTGGTTGATTCACCATCTCTGAATCTTTTTAGTATTCTGTGTGATGACATGAGAAGATCTATTAAACATATTTGCTGAACTGTAGGCCGGGGTTATCTCAGGAAAGGGTGCTTGCATGCTGATTTGAGTGCACACTGAACCAGCCCTTATTTTTACTTGGGAGGGTAGAAAATGATGGACAGCCATTGTTACTCACACTTGGGTGTTTGGCAGACATTTTTTTCAAAGGAATGAAGTGAATCTCTCACTTCAAAGAAAATAACTGAAAGGATCTCTCCCCCATAGTGAAAGTTGAGTTCTCGAGCAAAAATTACAGTTTGGAAATTTGGATCTGCCACTTGAGCTGCCTAGCTTCCCAATACTAACTTTTCTTACGAGATCAGTGGTGAAATGCAAATGTGATTTTGTTGAAGAAAATATGTAAACATTTAGAAGAAGATCTGTGTAATTCTGGAACCATTGTTTTTCAAATGACGAGCACATGATATTACAAAATGGTGCATGATAAAATATCCATTCAAAGTGAAAGATTAGTGAAATGGAGATTGAAAAGTATACTGATGTAGTTTCAGTCACCACATAACTTCTAAAACCCAGTTGGCTTCATGTTCTGTAGTAATATCAATAATTTTCTTCATTTAGTTTACTCAAAGCAATGTTTCCTTACAGAATGCATGCAGAAGCAGATATGACAACCCAGCTATTTTCAATTAAGCTAGACATTAAAGAGTCTTACACAATTATAAAGCAATGACATTTTTGTTACTAGTTTTTGTTTGTTTGTAGTAAAATATGTTTTGTAAAAAAGTGTTATTTCTGCTACCATTTAATGAATGGTGTTTTTTAATGAGTAAATATTAGAGTTTTTTCTTCCTGTTTTCATTATTTTTATGGTTAGCAGCAATAAACATAACCCACATAAACAAATACTCCTTGTTTTTTTTCTCCCCAGTAATTTTTAGAGTGTAAAAGGGTCCTGAGACTAACAGCATATTATGATTTATTGAATTGACAGCTGTATTTGTATTACCTTGTCAATTAATTAGACTTTACAAGATTAGAAAGAAAGCTGAAGTTACTTGTTCTTTTTACTTCTAGGAAGATTAAGCTTTTTCAGCACTTGTCCAATGTTGAATAAGATCTTAGGAGATTTTACTTTCTACTAAACCATGAGTTATAAGATTGAAAGTAGGCAAAACAATACTTACTAATTTATATTGAAAGAAATGTGTGTGTTCACTTAGGATTTTCTATATTCCATGGTTAAGTGTCCGAATACTTTAAATTTAGTCTTAAAAGCCTCTACTTTCCTTGTTTCTACATTTAGCATTTATAAATTTTCCGTAAATTATTATAGTAGGTTTACTTTTAAACATTTCATTATATTTGATTAAATATAAATGTTTCAAGTATTGATTTGGTAGCAGCAGATGGACTGCCATTAAATAGTGTGTTCTGGAAATTCTTTTGCTCATTTGACACTTTTCCATTTGTTTGAAAACTAAGGTTTATTTGTTTTTCCTTCCTTTAAAAGAAATGGGTGAGCCACATGTTTGAAGAAGAACTTACAAGTTCCTTGAATATGCTTTCATAGAAGTTATACAGTCTCTTCTAAGGCACAGTTTATGTGATTATTTCCTTCTAATTATCTTTTCCCTCTTTATTTACTTGTGGAGAGGCTGCATTTATTGCTTGCTATTCCTTAATTCCAAAAGGAACAGCAGTAAAAGAGTCCCCTTTCCCTCATGCCTATTAGAAATGCAAAAAGAATACCAAGGACCATTAAAAAATTTTAAAAGCTACTTTTATGGAGTATTTTAAATTTTGCTACCAATCTTGACAAGTCAGGCAAATTTTATTTTCCCACAAGCCACCAAGGAATTCTGATTATTGTATGGTATAGTGTGATCAATTTGGTTTCTATTATTTTAGTTAATTTTTTATTGTTTATACCGCACATGGTTTTATGATTATAAGGAAGTGAAACATGGGTATCTGGGTTTGCTGTGGGAACCCTGGGGTGTAATGGGTTACATGTTGGGCTGCTAACAGCAAGTCCATGAGAGAAAGGTGAGGCTTCCCACTCCTCCACACACTTGCAGTCTCAGAAACCCACAGGGGCAGTTCTACTTCCTGTACAGTCACTATGAGTTGGACTCAACTCAATGACCGTGAATTTAGTGAGAGGTTTGTTATTGTTAGGTGCCATTAAGTTGGTTCCAACTCATAGCGACCCTATTCCCAACAGAAAGAAAAGCACTGTTCAGCCTTGCACCATCCTCACAAGCATTGTTACGTTTGAGCATGTTGTTGCAGGCACTGCATACGTCCATCTTCATGATGGTCTTCTTTTTCACTGACTACTGAGCATGGTGCCCTTTTCCAGGGACTTGTTCTGGAAGGAGCTCTGATGGTGTAATAATTATGCATTTGGGCTGCGATCATCATGGTCAACAGTTCAAAGTCACTAGCCTTTCTGTGGGAGAAAGACAGAGCTTTGTATTTCTGTAAAGAATTACAGTCTCAGAAACTCACAGTGGCAGTGCAACTCTCTCTTACAGCGTCACTATGAATCAGCATTGACCCTTGATGGCAGTGATTTTGGTTGAGTTGTGTCACTCCTGAAGGAGTCCTGCTGGCAGTAGTAGGTTACACATTGATGTAGTTAGCAGTTAGAAATCACCAGCTGCTCTTCAGGGGGAAACTGAGGGCTCTACTCCTATAAAAGAGTCATAATTTGGGAAACCCACCAGGGCAGTTGTACTCTGCCCTATAGGGTTGCTGTGAGTCGGAATCAACTTAACGGCAATGAGGTTTTGGTCTCTCTATCTCTGTATCAGAGTTTAAGGTACTACTAATATAAAGTCATTTTCATTAATGTTAGAGATGGCCTTGTATAATAAATAAAGTCGTATTTAATTGATTTGGTTTTGGCGAGATTATTGCTTCTTTTGTTTCATGCCAATACTTAAACTAATCATGAACCAAGACTTGTCCCCAAAACTCCGCTATTCCAGAAGGCCCTCAGGAGCAGGAGAAAAAGTACTGATGGCTTTATAGGCTGTGTAGGACAAGCAGTTGTAGCCTTTTAAGTTTCCATACACCAGAACTAAACCAAACCTATTGCCATTGAGTTAATGTAACGACTTTGAACAACCCTATAGGACAGTTAAAAAGGCCCTTCAAGGTTTCTAGACTGTTATTTTTACTGGAGCACACTGTCACATTTTTCTCCTACAGAGCCATTGGTGCATTCCACCAACCTTTTGGCTTGCAGCTGAATGCATAACCCATTGCACTCCCAGGCTCCTCAGTGTTCATATAGCTCACAATTAAAATCAGAAAGCTGCCCCATTTTGCTATGTAGCAGATTCACTAGAAAATAACAGTTGAAATTTCACAAAGTGAGAGTAATTATTAATTAGTTAAATAAAATAGTGTCAGCATTATCTCAGTCATTTCTTTGAAGTATACGTTGTGGTTGTTGGTTGCCGTCACACTGGTTCTGCCACAGAGATTCCTGGGTGTAGAGTAGAGCTGCCCCAGCGGGTTCTCAAGGCGGTGGCCCTTCAGAAGCAGATCAGCAGGCCCGTCTTCAGAGGAGCCTTGCGAAGGGTTAGAATGCCAGCAATTTGACTACTAGTTGTAGCACTTAATCAGTTTCAACACCCAAGGACTCCGTTTAAGACATAAACCTGATAGAATGAGTACTGCTTAATTCTTTAAATTTGTATTCTCATTTGTGTGACCATTGTACCGGAGTTAATAAACAATTGAAATATAATTTCTGACATTTTTCTTATTTAATGTTTTGGCCACATATATGATTAGAAATAGCAGAAATTTCAGCTCTGAATATAATTTCTTTAATTTTCAAAATGAAATACATATTTAAATAAATGTCTCTTCAGATATCTTTTCAGAAAATTGGTGAACTTAGTCCATTCAAGGAATTGGATACTTAGAAATAGTTAAAAACTAGTATTATGTGAGTGACTCAAGAGATAAAGTTGTGAATTTTATCTAGCATTTACGTCTGGATAATCTTTGAACTTCAGATTAAATTGATGATAGAATAGCACAGCGGGTCTCAACCTGTGGGTTGCGACCCGTTTGGGGGCCAAACGACCCTTTCACAGGGTTCACCGAAGACCATCCAAAAACACATATTGCCGATGGTCTTAGGAACCGAGACACCGCTCCTCTATCTGTCTCCAGGCGAGTCCACCCACATGCAGATGCACCCATATATGAGTGTCCGGTGTGGTGACATCACGCCAACCCCATCTCATACACCCCATACAAATACAGGCATATGTGACAGGGTTGGCGCCATAATGAGTTTATGCAAACCAGTCACACGTGTAGAGAGCAGCTACTGTGTAGAAAGCAACTGCTGTGTTGAAAGCAACTACTCTGTTAAAAGCAGCTACTGTGTTGAAAGCAACAGTATTGGAGGTAAAACACTTCATGAATCATAATTACTGGGTAAATGTAAAATCATGTACTGTAAAATCAACTACTGCAAAAAACATCTGAACCATGCTTAATCTGGATACTAATAGGTCTTTTTATATTCAGCTGTGGTTGATGTGAATAATGCCCCCTTGTGATAGTAACAGGTATGTAAAAAAACACAGAGAATGGTAGGTCATTCATAAGAAACTTTAATAAACTATTGACTGAACTATGCCATGTATCATCTTTTGTATCATTAAAGCTGTTGTTATTATATTATTTCCATTAGCAAACCATCCCATGACAATGGCTAGTGTAGAGAAGAATGTTAAGAAAATAAAATACAGTGAGGATTTTTTACAGTATGGTTTTACCTCAATAATTACAGCAGGAATTGATAAGCTGCAATATGATACTTGTAAAGTTCTATCAGCCGAATCTATGAAGCTGAACAGTCTAAAATGCCATTTCGATAGCAAGCATACAAGTTGTGCCGGCAAGGATATCAACTATTTTAGAAGCAAAGCTGATGGACTCAAGAAAGCCAGGCTTGACAGTAGTGGCAAGTACCACAAACAAAACGTAGCAACCATTGAAGCTTCATATTTGGTGGCACTCAGAATCGCCAAAGCTATGAAACCTCACACCACTGCTGAGGATTTACTGTTGCCAGTGGCCAAAGACATTGTTCAAGTTATGATAGGAGACAAATTTATTATGAAATTGAGTGCAGATTCCTTATCTGATGACACTGTCCGCAGAAGAATAGATGACATGTCTGATGATATTCTTGATCAGGTAATCCAGGAAATTAAATCTGCTCCACTTCCAATATTTAGCATCCAGCTACAGATGTTGCAAACTGTTCACAGTTACTGGTTTGCATGAGGTCTATTAATGATGGCGACTTTAAAGATGAAGGTTTTTTTGTTTTTCAAACCTCTTGAAATGCCAATTACTGCAAGTGATGTATTTGACACAGTTGGTTCATTTCTGAAAGAGCATAAGATATCTTGGTAAAAAGGTTTGTGGAGTTTGCACAGATGGTGCTCCAGCTGTGCTAGGATGTTGATCTGGATTTCAACGTTTAGTACTAAATGAGTCACCAAAAGTCATCAGAACTCACTTTGTGATTCCTCGGCAAATATTAGCAATGAAGACACTGCCACTAAAGTTCCAAGAAGTAATGAAAAGCGTCATAGGTTCTGTCAGTTTGGTAAAGGCAAGCAGTTTAAACATTCGACTGTTTTCACAACTGTACAACAAGTTGGATGCGCCGAATAATGCTCTGCTATTTCACACTGAAGCGAGATGGTTGTCAAGAGGAAAAGTTTAAAACGTGTTTTTGAGCTTCATGATGAACTCAAAACGTTTTTTAATCAGAAAGCAAGACCACAGTTCAAAACACTTTTCAGCGATATAAGTAAACTATAGAAAATAGCTTACTTGGCTGACATCTTTGCCATCTTGAATGAGTTCAGTTGATCACTGCAAGGAACAAATGCATCATGCCTCGATTTGTCTGAAAATATCCAATCATTCCAAATGAAACCAGCTTTGGCAAAAAAAAAAAAGGATAAAAATAAAATTTACATGTTGCCTACCTTATCTGCTTTCTTTGAGGCACATGACATTGAACCAGACAAAAAGATAACGATGGTAATTTCTGTGAACACTTGCACATGCTTGCAGACGAAATTTCATCATACTTTCCTGACACCCCATCTGCACTTGCCAGAAGCACAGTAAAGTTGAAGATGTTCCTGAGACAGCACTAGAGTTCATTGAACTTACTAACAGTGATGCAGCGAGAACTGATTTTTCTACAATGCCACTTACAAAATTCTGGATCAAGTGTGTGTAGTCATATCCTGTTTTGTCTGAAATTGTTGTGCCTTCTTCCATTTCCAGCAACATATCTTTGTGAAACAGGGTTTTCCATCTTGTTGGTTATCAAGTCTAAAGACAGAAGTAGACTTGTGTAAGATGATCTTCATTGTGCTCTTGCAAAGACTGCCCTGAGAATTTCTGATCTAGTGAGAAAGAAGCTATCTTACCTGTGCACTGACGTTGGCTTTTTACGCATACTGTCGCAAAATGTAGCAATGTAGTTTACTGTTCTTATATTAAGACTGTTGCCCATGCTACACCATGCTTCAAGACAAAGATTCATTTATTTGTAATTTGAAATAAATATTTCACAATATATAATTACATACTGTTTTTTGATTAATCACTGCTTTCATTTTTAACATTTCATTTGTAACAGTGAAAAATACATCCTGCATATCAGATAATTATATTATGATTCATAGCAGTAGCAAAATTACAGTTATGAAGTAGCACTGAAAATAATTTTATGGTTGGGGTGCACCACAACATGAGGAACTGTATTGAAGGGTCACACTGTAATAACTAACACCTCTTATGCCACTTATGGGAATTAATAATATCCAAAAGTAGTGGGGTTTGTGGTATTTGCAAAGAATTATTCATATAACTTAAGAGTGCAAACAGAATTTAAACTCATTCTAAGATGGTTAGATGCTATCAAGTCCGTTTTGACACATGATACTTTTCTCTAAACAGACTTTTGCAAGAAATTTGTTGGCAAGCATTCAATACCTTCAGGAATTTAAGTAAAAATTGGTATGACATATGAGAGAGTGGTTTAAAGTTGATAAATGCTATAGCTGTTAAAAAAATTAATTGTATAATGATGCCATTGGCCTATTTTGAGTTAAGGTGTCTAAGACATAATTCTTGCATTGTGGCTCTTTGAGCAAAGAAAAATGTCTTAGTTTAGATTAACCCAAGACTCTTTGCCAGGAATATTCAAATGCATAGAAATAAGCACAGTACCTCTATGGTTCTGGAATCATAATTTAGATGCATTTGCTGATTCACAATCATGAATACTCACAAAGAAGTTCCTAAAAATAATTTTGTTGAGTTTCTTGAAGCTTCTGTGTATCAATCTCAGGTATATTCCTAATCTAGTATTCTTTTGAGGATATGGCCTAAGAAGTCCATTTTAATTAAATGTTAAATCTTTCCTTTTTCTTCCCTCTGAAGGACTAGCCAGAGCCAAGTCAGTTCCCACTAAGACCTACTCCAATGAAGTCGTCACACTGTGGTACCGGCCTCCTGATGTGCTTCTTGGCTCCTCGGAGTACTCAACACAGATTGACATGTGGTAAATATGTGCAGGTGTGATGACTGTGTAGTTCTGAAAGAACCAGAGCTATGAGTGCAGGACCTGCTAAGAGATACTTAGTGTAAGTGCCCATTGAGCGTTCTACTGTGCGAGTAAGATCACCTCGGTGTTAGTATTACTTCTACCACTTATCACTCTATAATAACCTTTTGGTCTATGCTTAGTTTCCTCATTTCAAAAAATAGGAATAGTAATTATTTAGTAACTTTTGAGAATAGTTCTGTGCATAATAGTAAAGCCAGATGAGCAAATGTATGGAAAACACTTAAGAGAGAGTGCCAGTGATTATTTTTAATCACCATTTAATATTCACCAAAATGCAGCTACCATAAATTGTCAAAATAATTACCTAAATATTAGTAGGCATCTGTAGTCACAACATTTCTCTACTTACATACCTTCTTTACTTATAGAACACTATACAGTTCCTCAGTCTAGCGCTTCAAGAGCTCCATATAATGTCTCCAAACAACCCTAACTAACGGAATTCATTCCATCCCTGTATACAACTTTTCCCTTTTAGCCCAAACAGCCTGGCCTTCCCCACCACTGCTCTTTGGTTCTCATCAGTCCATCCATCTGGAAGGTGTGCTCTGCTCTCTGTCTCTGCCCTGTGCCTCCAAAACCAAACCGACTGCCATTCAGTCCGCTCTGACTCACAGTGGCCCATATGACAGAAGAGAGCTGCCTCTGGACTTCTGAGGCGGTGGATTTTGACGGGAATAGAAAGTCGCATCTTGCTGGAGCAGAACAGCTAATGTGTTTGAGCATGTGATGGCTGCCCCCACTCCCCCGTTATATTTTAAAGGGGTGTTGGTTGCATATTCTTAAAATGGCTTCAAGACTTTCAAAAACACCCCCCACCACCACATAGGGTAATTTCTTCTCCTGATATAGTAGCATGTATAGTCTATTTAAATATCCTTCATATTCTTATTGTAATCATATAATTCCTTCTGTTACTGTTTTGAACATTATGTAAAGCTTCCCTTTTTATCACATGTTAGCATATACATTTTTATAGTCAATTGCTGGAGTGTGAGCCCTTTAATGGAAGAACTATGTCTTAGACCTGAGTGTATTCACATAGTCTCTAGAAGACATTATCCATCGTCAGCCTCCGTCCCGTCTACCTCTTACATACACTGACCCTGCTACCACATTAAACATATGTAATCATTTGATTGTCTGTATCCCTACTGCTCATTATGTTACATTAGGCTGCTGTCATCTCCTGAAGGCTCATAGCAATCTTTAATTGGCTTCCCTGTTTCCTACCTCGCCACCCTCCGAGCTCAAGATCCATATACGAGGGGGGGTACCCCTCCAAAACCCAGGCTGAGAGGAGACTTCCTAGTATGCATTTTTCCCACTAGGCGAGCACCCAGCCACTTGCTCTGAGTTAATGCACCCAGTGGCATCACCTGGGAAGGTTTTCTCTGGTCACAGTGACTTCTTTGTAAGAGCAGTTGCATTCAAACATTTTTGTGATGACCGATTTAAGAGAACAGTGTGCAGCTGTGAAGTTTTGTTTCCTGCTTGGGAAAAATGCTGTAGCAACTGTTGTGATGTTGAACACAGCTTATAAGGACAGTGCTATGGGAAAAACTCAAGTGTATGAGTGGTTTCTTGTTTCAAAAAAGGAAATGTCAATTGATGACAAACCTCGTTCTGGACACCTGTCAACTTTCTGAACTGACAAAAATGTCAACTAGTAGTGCATTTGGAATCCGTTCCACCAGATCAGGCTGTTAATCAAGCTTTCTATTTAGAGGTTCTGAAAAAGATTGTGTAACAGTGTGCAACAAAAAAGGCCTGATTTGTGGCAAACTGGGGACTAGTTTTGCCACCATGACAATGCACCTGCTCACACAGCTGTCTCAGTGCGCCCGTTTTTGCCTCTCTTGCCCCACGCACCTTACTCACTGACCTTGCTCTGTGCAACTTTTTTGTTTCCACGAATGAAAAGGGACATGAAAGGATAGCGATTTGATGACATAAAAGAGGTGGGGAGAAAAAGAGGGAAATGCTGTCAGCCACCTAACCAGATAAGTTTGAAAAATGTTTCCAAGATGGAATTGCAGATTTGACAAATGTATTAAGTGTAACAGAGAGTACTTGGTGCTAAGTTTCTGTGTGTGTGTTTTTTTTTTTTTTTAGTTAAATACATAGCTTTTGGGGAAGAGATTCTGGGTTGTTTTTTTAGGGAGTAAACCCTCATATAGATGAAGCAGGATCAAGTAGGAAAAATTGAAACAAATAGTGTAAATGTTAACACTTTAGGTTTTTCTGGAAAAATCTCTGTAGGATATTTACAGGCAGGCTAGTTCAAACTCTCCAGAGAGAAAATCTTAAGGCAAAGATTCTTGGACTTCTTTCTGCATTATATAAATGAGTTGCTTTTATCTCCCCCACCCCCACCCCCGTTATATTTTAAAGGGGCGTTGGTTGTATTTTCTTTGAAATGGCTTCCGGAAGACCTCTGTTTCCAGGATCAACTGTGGAAGATGAACTACACTTAATTTTCCGACTGCTAGGTAACAGAAGAAATATTTTCCCAGTGATTTTGTACCTTCTATTGACTAGTTAGATGGGACTAATAATTTATAATCAATACTTTGATACTGAGATTTATGTAGGTAACCATTATTTATAGAAATTATAGTTAGTATATTATTATATAAAGATTGAAGAACCTTCCAGGTCATATTGCCTTTACATTTACTGAAGTCCACTTTTGTAATAAAGATTTTATGGAAGAACAGAGAAAGAAAACAGTATTGAAAATTAACTGCTAACATGTTATTAGCATGTTAGCTTAAGGCTTAGAGAACACATTGTTATCTAAGACTGCCTTAAACAAGTGTCTTCATATAGTCCTTTTATTCAGATAAATACTTCTTTAGTTATTTCCATTTACATATATCTGTGGATACAAAATATGTATGTACATAAACTTTATATATATTTGTAACTGTATACATTGTTTTTAAATTCAGGAACTCCATCCCAGGAAACGTGGCCAGATGTTTCTTCAAATGATGAATTCAAGAACTACAACTTTCCAAAATATAAACCACAGCCTTTAATTAATCATGCACCCAGGTATTTTTTCCCCTTTACGTTAAAGTATATTGGGGGGTAGTGTGTGTGTGTGTGTGTGAGTGTGTGTTTAGGGGGGTGTAGAGGTGTGGGGAGTATGGACAGGACACCTCCATATCATTCTCTTCAATTTTTGATGTAGTAGCCCAGCGTTTCCCAAAGTGGGTGATACTGTCCCTTGGAGGGACCTGGAATAATTCAGAGAGGTGGCAAAATTATGAGCTATAGTACAATGGTTTATAATTGCTGGGGGTTACTGAATAATTCTTTTTCAGAAAAGTGGGGTGGGTAGCCAAATAAGTTTGAGAACCTATGTATCAGCCAAAGTAGAGTTTAGGAAAACAAAATAATATGAACACACAATTCATAAGTATTTTAGGATGTTAATTAAATTGATAACCCTTCTCCTTATTCTAGATTAAGTTTGGTAATTATGATTTACCAAAGTATGAAAACAGCATTAGCTATAAATAAAATTAATATAATGTTTATGAAAATAAACTCTAATTTAGAAAGCAGAGTTTATGTAGATAATCCCTCCAGAAAGAAGGCCTCATTGATGTGCAATTCAGTATCATGAAGATCATGGTATAATTTTTGGTTTGCTTTTTGCAGAACTGTTCTGTATAGATGTTAAAAACCTAAGGAAATATGCTATAATACAATATGATACAAGATGACCCATCAGTATTTTGGTTTGTGTTAATGACAGAGTTTCTATAAATGCTTTCTGACTCCTTATCAAAATTTAGTCTTCTAAATATCAAGCATTAATATTAATAGTTTATGTTGATAAATGACAGTCAGCTAGATATTTTTAATTATGGAAGTAACATGGAAGAACTTAGCCCTTTACACCTTTTCATCTTTTAAAAAAGTAAGATGGCACTAAGATACCAAATAGGCCATGCATTGTTTTAATCAAAAGCCATTCATATTGCTTACAGCATAACACACATGATCAAATTTCATTTTAAGGAAGAACAGAAAACAGTCTGATTCTCAACATATGTGAATTGATGTTCTTATTGCCACTACAGCAATTGATACCTTTCTAACTAGACTTGTTTAGGAATAATAATATATGCTAGGATTTACATCTCCCACAAGTAGTATAAATCTCATTTTTGTCGTTTAAATATTGCTTGCTGTTTGTAATGTCCAACATAGGAGGTCATTGCTCTTCTTTGAAGCAGCTTCTACATGACTTTAGCACATAGCTTAGCTTGTCTGTGCTCAGAGTGTTGGATGTGCCCGAATGGCAAACTGCAGAGGATTACAAGAGTCTGGGTAGTCGGTGGGCTGCAGCAGCTACTGTACCCCTGGAAGCACTTGGGGACAATATTACATTATTCATCATTGTGCTTTTGCCAGTGAAAGTTAGTGAAAAGTAGAATGTATGGTTTCTAATCAAGAGATTATCTCACTAAAATAATCCCTAACTCCTCTACTCTGTATTATGTTGATCCCATTACTATAAGCATCTGTCTTTATTTACTGTAATCATCTGTCTTTATTGTATCATTGGTTTTATAACCATTACTAATTAAGTTTTGTGATGCTATTGTTGCACATTTAAGCTGAACTTTATACTATCCGGTGTGCACTGCTTGGCAGACCACTCTGTAAACACAGCTTGGATAATTCCCCTCTGAGGCTTATCTTGATCCTAGTGGTGCATTTTTGGGCAGCCTCTGTACGTTTTGACGTATATAATAGGAAAAGAATGCCCTGTGGCTGATTCAGTGAAACACTCTGAAACACTCCACTTACTGAGCTTCCTAGAAAGGTTACTTTGTTTTGAGACAGAATGATGATTTTAAAATGTCCACAGTTTTAGTAATCTGAATTCCTCTTGAATATTGAAAACTTGAAGCCCAATTGTTATGGGTTCTACTTAAGCAGCAGGATACGTTTCTTAATGATAAAACAAATCTGAGCTTATTTGGAATGCAGCAAGAATGGCTATTTTGCAAATGGAAATACTTGGGAAATAGTGAAATAGTTTTCTCTGTAGGATTTCAATTAGCTGCAGTAAGGGAAGGAACTGCCATTTGTTTTTGTTATTTCTAGGTTAGACTCTGAAGGAATTGAATTGATAACAAAGTTTCTCCAGGTAAGTTGTATCTTATTTTGTAATTGTTAAATGGGTAGTCAGCTTTATCTGAATTTAAGTTTCTGTAATAGGATAAGATCTTTAATACATTCCTCCTAAATTTGCTGTAGCAAATGTTATTTAGGGCGGAATCTAGCATGCTTAAGACACATGTTTAAGTGAAAAAAGAAAAACACTATGATTTTTCTTACTGTTCCCATGATAAAGAAGCCAGCTGCTAAAATGGAACAACTGTCAAAGTCATATTCTTAAAAATTCACGTTCTCTATATTTTCCATCTACATACATACTGGCATATAGGCTGCTACACCCCCACTAGCATTTGTACCTTCATTCAAATCAGAAAGATAGGGGGAGAGTAAGAGCGGTGGCAGTCACACTGGCCTTCTACCCTAAATCTTGAGATTGTAAGACAGTTTGGGAATTTGGGAGCAGGATGGCCATGATGAGCCTTGCCTTGTAGTAGTCATGATTCCTGATCATTTTGCTGGAGTTGAAGCATTTGTTGCTGCTGTCGGTTGCCACGGAGTCAATTCTGACTCACGACAGCCCCATGTTTGTGTGCAGAATGCAGCTGCTGCAGAGGGCTTTTAAAGCAGATTGCCAGGCGTGTCTTCTGAATGCCACCAACCTTTTGGCTCATATTTGAGCCCACAACTATTTTCACCACCTAAGAACTCCTGGCAGCATTTAAAGCTTGAAAAATCTAGTTGATATCACCCAGGGCAAAGAGGGAAGATGGGTACTGAGTAGGCAGTTCACGTGTGCTGCAAAGGTCTTAAAGAGTGTGGTGGTGCAGTGGTTCAGCATCTGGCTGCTAATTGATAGGTCAGTGATGCAAACCCACTAGTGGCTCCTCAGGAGAGAAGCCCTGGTGATCTGCCTTCATGAAGATTACAGCCTAGGAAACCTGAGGGGCAGTGACGGCAGTTCCATCCTCTCACATCTTGTCATGACGAGTCAGAATCGACCTGCTGGCACACAGCAGCAGCAGCATAAAGTACTGAGTCTGTTTCCACCAATCCTTTATTCTCCTAGAAGAAAATTAACACTAAAGACCATATAATTTAACATTTTATCACTTCAGAAAATAGAAAACTCTAAAATTTAGTTCAGATTCAGCAGTAAATTGGAAATTTAGAACTCAGAGGTAATTATTGCTACTTCATCCCAATAGCAACTCAAGTGAGAGTGTTTCTGCAGTACTCCAAATTGATGCTTGAAATTAAGTGGTCAAGAGGAGGAAAAGAAAAAGTAACTGCATGCTAATTTGACCTTTGCTCACTTTTGCATTAATTAGAGAAAAATTGGTGAAACAGTTATTTTATCTTTTCGCAGTATGAATCTAAGAAAAGGGTTTCAGCAGAAGAGGCCATGAAACATGTGTATTTTCGAAGTCTGGGACCAAGAATACATGCTTTATCTGAAAGTAAGAAATTCTAAGTAACAGTACCTCCCAGGTTTAGAGAATGGGTTGGATTAGAGATTTGGGGAAGGGATGATTGTTGGGCTTTAATCCTAAAATTCTACTCTTTTCTATAATTAAGTCAGAACTTTTAGAAGGGAAGTATATGGATGATTAACATGTATTTTAATTTATTCACGACCACGCTGAACACAAATCAGTAGTACTTCGGACCATCACTCATCTTACTGGAATGAAGCCTTAAGATTTCACCTGATGATAGACACTGTCTTTGTGCCCATCTAGCTCTGCCCCAGAGTTGTTAGGAAGAGTGGGTCTCTGGCAAAGTGTAATGAAGTACAACCAAAACGTTAGCTTGATTTTTTATTATTGTTACAAACGGAAGCATCCTTCCTAAGACAGGAAGACTTTCCTAAATGACTGCTCTGACGTTACTGTGCTCACCAAAGTGGCAACTGGTGGGAAACAGCCGGTTTCCCACACCCACGGTGGCAGATTTTCTTTCCCATGATGTTTCTTTTTAGTCATTTTTACCCCAATATTTTGTTTTATTTTTCTGTATTTTATGTTAAAATTCAGTGAGGTGATTGAGAAATTGGGTAATGTTTTGGGATCTAAGCTGTTTGAAACTTTTATTAATTTCACCACTGATTCAATCAAGTTGTATGTAGGGAATCAGTGAAATAGCCAACTGGAAATCAAGACTGCTTAAGCCTTTCACCTGGAACTTATTGGGTAATTTTTGATGCGAGATTACCTCGGTGAGAGATTTAAAATGAGATAAAATTAATTATGCATTTTTAAGATGATATTTATACTTTTCGTTGTTTATGCCAAGTTTTGTCGTGTGAGCTGGTCAGTTAACTGTTGTATTAATGCCTTCCTCGTTTCTTTTTGAATGCCTGAAGATAGTTTGTGCCCCTGAGACCCTCATCCTATCATAAGGACAGAGCGGCCCAGAGCAGAACGATGCCTTTTGATTAGATTGCCGCATCCTAGTGTGTCTACAGACAGACACATAGATTTGCAACATGTTTTGGAGTAGAGTAGGGAAAAGATAAGTTCTAAAGGTGGATTATTTTCTTTGATTTTCTTGTTAAAATGCTGGAACAAGAAGGAAAATATTTTAAAATATTTAATCAGCTCTATATTTGTATATGTAGCATATATGTTTCATATTGAATTGGTATACCTTAAAAACTTTGTATCTACTGTATTTGATTTTTTATCTTTTATATTTGTTTTCATAATGTTGAACTTTCACCCAATAATTTTTTTTTCGGTCTGTACATTTTAGGTGTTTCAATATTCAGTTTGAAAGAAATTCAGTTGCAAAAGGACCCAGGTTTTCGAAATTCTTCTTATCCAGAGACAGGTGTGTTTGTCATAAACCATTTCACATGTCAATCATGAATTTTTGCATGGAACCAAGCTTTTGGTTTAAGTTGATCAGTAACATTCTTGATGTAAAAACCAATGTACAGTGCATAGCACAACGGTGTTTGTTTAGCATTGCACACCCTCACTGCTCTGTACGATGCAGGCAGCTCAGTCATTCTTCAGAGAGAAAGCTGAGTCGGTGAAGTCAGGGATCGTGAAAGCTGCAGATGGCACAAAGACCGTTTACAAGTGACCTGGCTTGACCATGAACACACTGTCCCTGGCACCTGAGGCGAAGTCACAGCTGTGCTCCCTTAGTCATCAGGTTCTTCACTTCGAAGCGTAGAAGCGTAGACTGACCCCACCACCAAAGGGTCAAGGAAGGAAGGCAGTGCTGATCCCGCTTACCTGGAATTTTAGCTTGTGCTGGTGGGAACAGTAGCGTCCGAGAGTCACCCAGTACTGTATGTGGGATAAAACTGAACCTTGAACTGCCTCATGAAATGACTTTATATTTTAGGACATGGGAAGAACAGAAGACAGAGCATGCTCTTTTAAGTCTGATAACATGGTTTCAAGCCCAGCCCCCCAGCCTTTCTTACCAATCAAGGACTTGGATCTGAAGGCAATTGTTTCTCTCGGTGGACTTGGAATCGCCGTTTGTCTACACTGTCCTCGTCACAGTGCAGTCTTTTTATTTCAGACCTACAGATTGTTTTTATATTTGTTGTCACAGTGTGACAATTTTTTTGTACAGTTGGTTTTAAGGTCTCCTCTGCCATTAGAGCCAGTAGGTTACAGCTATTGATGTAACTGTAGCTGCAATTTTTGTGCAGGACTGAGAAACACAGTGCATTATTTATTGCGGAATCATTGCTGCTAAATAACTACTGTCTGTTTATTTAACACAACAGTTGAATGCCTGAAGAAGTGGCAGTGGCTTTATTATATGTGAATGCATCTGTCTCTCCTCACGAATTGTTTTACTGCTGCATTTTTGTTTGCTTATTTGTTTTAAAATTAAACTGCAGTGTTTCCTGGAATGAAATTTATCGTTGCTTTACAGTAAAATAAGTAAGCCATATTGAACACCCTTAAGTTCATGTTGTATGCTTATTGAAATTTGGCAAGTAAAGTAGCACAGAGAAAGATCAGTCCATGATGTTTAGAAAAGCAAGTGATGCAGAAGTTGATTCCAGTAAGTGAATACCAGTAATTTGGGGGTGAGGGGTGGGGTGGGCTCACATTAGGCTCCAGCCATGAAAACACCAGAATTATTTATTTCTGTCTATTCCCCATTTTAGAAATTGTTGTTAGGTGCCGTTGAGTTGGTCCGGACTCATGATGACCCTATGTACACGGAAGAGAAACACTGCCTAGTGCTGCGCCAGCCTCATAATCATTGCTGTGCTTGCACCCTCCCTGTAGCCACTGTCATGGCATTGAGGGTCCTGCTCCAAGGACTGATCCTCCCTGACCTTTGTCCACAATGTGTGCGATGAAGTCACTTCTGTGGAGCCTTTGGAGCAAGACAGATATGTTCGTTCTTCTGGCACCCCATGGAATATTCGATATTCTTCCCCAGCATCGTAACTTACATGCCTCACTTCTCCTTGAGTCTTCTTTATTCATTGTCCAATGTTTTCAAACCTTTTGGTTTATAAATTAGTAAAATGACTGATGAAGTAAACATATTGATGCTATTGAAAATACTACGAGTCAAACACACCTTTGTCCTCAGGTGACATCTTTGCTTGTTAGCATTTTAAACAGGTCCTTTGCAGCAGAGCTGCCCAGTTCAATCCACTTTTATTTCTTGATGGCTGCTCCCATGGGCGTTGAGTGTGGAGCCAAGTAAAATGAAATCCTTGGCAACTTTATCGTTTCTCTGTAGTCTTGATACTGTGTATTGGTTCGCTTGTAGGATTGTTGTTCTCTTTGGGATGAGATGTGATCCATACTGAAGGCTGTGGTCTTTGATTTCCTTCAACAAGTGCTTCAAGCCCTCTTCCCTTTCAGCAAGCCAGGTGGTGTCATCTGTTTGTCCATCGGAGGTTGCTCATGAGTCTTCCTCCATACCTGTTGCTGCTTTCTTCTTCATCTAATCCAGCTTCTCAGCTTATTTAGACTTTCGAACTATCTACTGCATATTACCGGATATTTGTATAATAATACACTTAACTAACTTACATTATGCGTTCATTCAGTTAAACCTAAACCATACAAGTTCAGTCTGCACACGAAAGTTCTTGCTCACATTTGTTTTATATATTTTTCTTTTAATAGAAAGGATGATCTTTGGGGAACAATTTATTTCATTGAAGGACTGTGCTTATGTGTATGTTTAATAACATTCACTTGGAATCAGCTGAAAGCTGCAATATGTCTTTGAAATGAGCCATGATAAACTGCAATGAGAAAAATGAGAACATAGAAGGTTGTTATAAAGGGTTATAGGTATTATCTGTTTACCAGACATAGTATATATTTTACAGTTTTGATTATGCATCTCTTTGGACATTTACACATACCTTGGTGTTAATATCAGTGTTTTAAGCATTTGTGTTCACTTTTAAGGACTATTTGTTTAGTGCATCTTACAAATTATAAATCTTAATTGGTATATTTTGAATTGGTAATGTACATTTTTGGCTTTTAGATCATGACAATAGTCGTAACTTAATTTTTTTCCTGACTTTCACTGTAAAACATTCAGGGGCCCTATCATTTCTGTTCAGGAAATCTTGTGGTTTATTGTTGTTATTTAACAGTATTAAGTGAATTTTTGTATATTTCATTTTAACTTTATTTGTGAATAGTGATTGTGGCATGTTTGGGGTTATTTTAATATTTCATGATACTGCAATTTTAATTTTTAAAAACAAAATAATTTTCTGGAAGAAACAGACTCATGTGTCATTAATGGTGACTATTGGACCACTACTGCTTTTCACATTTGTAAATTGGTTTTCTGTTAAACCTGTAGCCTAACAAACTGCTGTTATTTCTAACTGACAGACATGTATTACTATTGTATTTTGAAGGTTATAAATATTATGTGGAACTTCCTCCATTTTGTTTTGAAATTTATAATAACAAAATCTCCATGTTGTTAAAAATGTGGTTTTGTTGAGTCACAGTTCTTTCTTGGGGAAGAAGGCTGTGCAGAATGGGGTCCAGTTCTTCTGATAATGAAGTCTCTTTGTGCCACGAGTGATTCCTAAGTGTATCTGTCCTATGTCTTTGAAGTGAGCCATGATAAACTACAATGAGAGAAAGGAGAACTTAGATGGTTGTTATAAAACATTTTAGGCATTAACTGATACCAGAGATCATATAGATTATATACTGTTTGTTACGCCACCCTGTTGTTATAGGATGGCATTCTCAATTATAAAGTATTAGATTGATCATTTTGTAGGAGATACACATGTATGTGCCTCTGTGTTGTGTGTATATTTGACCCACATACATTTGATTCTTGCATCTATCCAGTAGTTATCTAAAATACTGCTCCTTAGAAAGCCCACCGGGCTACTTCATTTTATTAACGTTTCATCAGAAAACAAGTACTTTTGGACACTAGGGCACCCTTTAGATCCCAGAAACTTTGTAGTAGAGAGAATTAAAACTCAGAAAATTTGAACCTCGAACAGTTTTGATTCATCTTGAACTGACAAGGTACCTAAAGTGAAAAAGGCTGCCTATTTTTGTTTCCTTTCCAAGTCGTGGTGGTCCCAGCACACACTGCATGTGCCGTTCTACCTATTGAGAAACCACTGTGCTCCATTTGATGCTAAAGCAGCTTAGGTTTGAAAGACTGCTCGTTAACATGTTATAATCATCCATCTTACGGTCTCAAGGCAATTCACATGACTTTAAAAGACTTACCCCCAAATATAACTCCTTTGTGTTTATTATTATTGTCACTGGTTTTATTTTCTGAATATTCTACTCTAGTTTCTTACAATGATTCTCTTTCTAAAAAATTTATTTATTTATTTTTAATTATTTTATTGAAGGCTCGTACAATTCCCATCACAGTCCATACATCCATCCATTGTGTCACGCACATATGTACATCTGTTGCCCTCATCAATCTCAAAACACCTGCCTTCCACTTTAGCTCTTAATATCATTTGCTCATTACCCCCCTTCCTCGTCCCTCCCCCATGAACCCTTCGTAATTCATAAATTATTATAGTTTTGTCATAAGTTACACTGTCCGACGTCTCCCTCCGCCCTTAATTTATGTCAGAATGTTAATGGGAACACAAACTCAGTATCAGACTGTTAAATTTACACACTTCTACATGCCCCAAAGGAGCCATGGTGGCACTATGGGTTAATCTTTAAGCTGCTTACCCCAAGTTTGGTGGTTCAAACCCATCAACCATTCATTCAGAGGCTCCCATAAAGGTTTAGTCTGGGAAGTCCTCTATAGGTCACTGTGAGTCAGACTCGGCTGTATAGCAGTGGTTGTGCTCCAAACTTGGCACCTCGCAGTGATTTTAACATATTACTTGGGCCCAAGGAAAGCAAAACTCGCCCCTCTTGTTCATCTAAAATTGGCTTTAACGTTTAAATTACTGGTTTTATGTAAGCAGGAATTTTCTTAAGCTACCACAGCCCTGGCAAAAGTTACTAATCACTGTCATTCACTGACCCAGAAAAGACCACAGAAGCCACCAATTTTCTATTAAAAGATTAAAACAAGAAAAGTGTAACCAAAAATATCACAAAATTTTAATCTATGATGATGTGGGGAACACTTCTCATCGTTGGCTTCTCCCAATGAGAAGCAAGGAAATTGGGCTGACTGATGGAAATCAAGGAGCCGGTGGCGTAATGGATTATAGGTTAAGCTGCTAACCAAAATGTCAGCAGTTCAAATCCACTGGTTCTGGGAGAAAGCTGACGCTTTCTACTCTAGTAGTTACCCTGGAAATCCACAGGGGCATTCTACTCCCTTTTAATGGGTGCTCTGAGTTAGCATCTACTCCTTGGTAGTGGGTTTGGGATTTGCAGGGAGGGAATCAACATTTCTGGAGGTGACCTCTGCAGAGCAGAGTGATGTAAGAGCTTGGAGGGGTGGGGGAGTGCTGTGTGTCTCGCTTAGTGATACACAGGCTCAGGCATGGAATTGTAGTGAGAAGCGGCTTGTGAGTTGTACAAGACTTCCGTGGGGCTCTGCTGAGTTGTTCTTAGAGCAGTTCTAGTGAAAATACTGCCTCAAATGTTTCGGCCAGTTCTCCACCTACACAACATGGTTCCCATTCTTACAGCCATGGTCCGTCAGCATTGTAGTCTATGTGTTATTTCCTTATTTTTGGATACATGATACTAAGGTGGTCAGTTTAGACGGTGTGCGTGTGTGTACTCTTTTCTCCCCTAGAAACAAGAAAGCCCAATTCTGCCATTGTGTACTTCACAGAGTCTTAGTCTGCCTACCTTTTCATGACTTCTTATTGAACTAGATGTCCCCTCTCACTTTTGAATTTAGAATTAAATTCTCTTACTACATGTTTTTTTAAGGAGCCATGCTTGCATAAGCGATTAAGTGCTTGTCTACTAACCAAGCACTTGGTTGGTTGGTTCACAAGCTCCAATTGCTCCTTGGGGGAAAGTGATGGCAGTCTGCAGCTGTTAAGATTACAGCATGGGAAACCCTGTGGGGGTTGGGGGGGGATCATGAGTTAGAATTGACTTGATGACAACAAGTAGTGTCTTGCTAATTTCTGCATTTCTATGTCACATGATGGTGAGCTGTAGACTGTGCTCAGTGTAAATGCAACTACATTGGTGATTGAGTTTCCCAAATGCTTTATATTACCCCAACCTGAAACACCCTCTAACTTCTGCCCAGAGCACTCACGTCTCTGTTCTTTTCTCTGCCACTCTTAATCATTCTTCAGGTTTCAATGATTTCTTCCAAAAAGTGTCCTAGAGACCTACTCTCCACACATCAACCCTACCACCAAGACTGGGTTCAAAAACTAAATTCATTGCCATTGAATGGATTCTGGCTCATACTGACCTTATAGGACAGAGTAGAACTGTTCTTTTGGGTTTCCAGGGCTGTAAATCTGTACAGGAATAGGCAGTCTCATCATTTTTCCCAGGAAGTGGTTGATAAGTTCAAACCTCTGACCTTGTGGTTAGCTCTTTAATGCATAGCCCTCTACGTCTCCGAAGCTCTTGTTATTTGCCTCTGCTTTTGTTGATTTAATTCAAATACACATGCAGCGAGCAATCCTGAGTGATAAGTAATCTTCATCCATTACATAATATTTAATTGGCCTTGTTTTTTCTCGATGAATGAACGAAGACAAAGCAAAAGCAAACAAACTCACTGCCGTTAAGTTGATGCTGACTCATGGCAGTCAGGAATTGGATGTTCAAACACAAAAGAAATAGTGTTTTCCTAGTAGGCAAAATATGGGACTCTTCGGAAATGTGAACCAACTTATTTATAATCAAACATTTGTACACACACACACACACACACACATACAAGCACACCTGGGGAGAATGAGATTGGGAGTCAAGTCAATACAAGAGTCTGAAGTAGGGCCAGTGGTACAATGAAGAGAGATTGCTTTCCAGGAAAAGGGTGGTGGCAATAGGTATTGAAGGTTCATGTGTTCGGTGTAAAGATGTAGACAGCTACATCCTAAGCCGGCAGTGAGGAACCTTTTTTTCTGCCAAGAGCCAATTGGATATTTATAACAGCATTTGTGGACCTTAATGGTCTAACATTTAATTAACTCGCCACTAATGTGATGACTGTCCAGGACCACAATGGTGTAGTGGTTACTCATTAGGCTGCTAACGGCAAGGTGGACAGTTCAAAGCCACTAGCCACTTCAAGGGGGCAAAACAAGGGTATGAACTCTGGCTAAGAGTTACAATCGCGGAAACCTACAGGAGCCGTTTTCTGTTCCAAAGGGCACCACGTGTTGGAATCACGGCAGTGAGTTTGGTTTGGGGAATGTGATGTTTGAGACTGCCTCTCCTGGGTGAGGTGTGTGATGTTAGCTGGTGTTGATGACAATCCCCATTACACTGTCACTTAAATTCAGGCCGCAATCAAGGTCACTAGGATCAGAGTGCTGGGTTTGCAATCTGGCTAGCTTTATGATCCTGTGAAGTTACTAGACCTCTTTGGACCTCATATTTCCTCATTTGTAAAATTATATATGCTATTACTTCTTTCATAGGGCTGTTGGAAGGATTGAGTAAAATAATCCATGATATGTACTATATATACTTGTGTATAAGTCAAGTTTTTCAGCACATTTTTAATGCAGTTTTTGTGGTAAAATCAGGTGCCCTGGCTGATAGTCAGGTTGGCGTATATTCGAGTATATACAGTACATAGAGCAATGTCTCTCTCATACGCAGCTTTTAAAGTCGTTGCTATTATCAACTGAAATGATGTCGCCTAGTGTTAAAATGATATCATGTAGTAATGAAATGATGTCACCTAGTGATGAAATAAAGTGGTTTAAGAATTTGACTGCTAATCGAAATCAGGTCAGCCACTCCAGGAGAAAGATGTGGGTGGCAATCTGCTTTCCATGAAGATTTGCAGCCGTGGAAACCCTATGGGGCAGTTGTACTCTGATTTGATAGCAGTGGTGTTGGGATTTAGTGATAAAATAGTAAGTAGGTCTCAGGCCTCATTCATGTGGGAGAGGGCAATTAGACAGTGTTTTCCTCAGGGTGAAGCCTGAAAGTAGGTTCCCACGATCTCAGATAACAACCAAGGGAGTGTGTGCATGGGGGAGAGACACTGGTGAATATTAAAGCATAAAAGGGCATTTAATAGGAGTGATTCAGGCCACCCCATAAGTACAAATTGTTTAGTTAACTTCATGACAAGGACCAGGATTCCATTTTCAAAATGGTACCTGGAAAGTAGTTCCCAAAACTCACTTCAATCAATGCCTGCCCCTTCCTGCAGGTGTGATACACCACATGCTGCTCTGAGGGCGCCAGAGTTCAGGCACAGAGCGTCTTGTGGCAGAAGCTCCATTACCCAGGGTTTCTCCGTGTGCCCCTCTCCCCAACCTAGACACGCCCATACAGGCTCACGTTAGCTTTAGGGATGCCTTTGAGCTCATCCAGCTCCACCTGGAGGTGAGGCCAGGAGGGCCAGGAACCCTTCTCACCAGGTGTAGCCCAGCATATCCCCGTTATTTACAAAGTGGCTGAGAGAAGGTGGTAACTGAGTGTCTCCCTTCCACAAGGCTCCCAACTCAGTACAGTGTCTGATGAAGCTTACAATGTAGATCAGAGGACCCCTTTTTAAACCTACTGTCCCCTGTAAGTCACCCTCAATACTAATATTTTATTCTTAACACGTCAGTTTACAGATTCTACATAGGAGGTAAGGGTGCAGCTCTGCGGAAGAAAGACTGGCGGTCTAGTCTGCTGCTGTAGATCCACAGGCTTGGAAAGAAACCCTTTGGGCAGTTCTGTGTCTTGGAAGGTCACTGAGTCAGAATTGACATGATGCCTGAGCGTGTATCAAGGAGCTCTGATGATGGCTGAGAGGAGCCCTGGTGGTGTAGTGCTTAGGCATTGGGCTGATACCTACAAGGTTGGCAGTTCAAAACTGCCCGTCGCCCAGTAGAAGAAAGACAAAGCATATTATTTTCATAAAGTCCTGCAGAGTCACTGAGTTGGAATCAATGTGATGACAGTGATAATAGCTGTGGGTTAGGCACTAGGCCGTTCAAACCTCCAGCTACGCAGATAAGGCCATCTGCTCTGGAAAGGATCATACGAGTTGGAGTTGACTGGTGGTGGTGGTAGTTTGGTGTGTTTTGAAATGCCATGCTGAAAAGCTAGATAAGACTAATGTTCTGTGTAAAAGTGAATTTGGATCATCTCAAGTAAATGGAACTAAACCAACCCACCAGCTTCCTTTTATCACAAAGTATTTATTGACCAAAAGAATATAACAATAAAAACAGTACATATATGGAAGTGGATGGACATCTGCAACCGTAGAAAAGATATAGTATACAAAGAGACCAGTGTCCAAATGATAGGTTTATACAACTTTTCAGTCATAATAGTAGTTTAACACTGAACAAGTACACCTGTAAAAAGAAGAAAGGTGCTTGAAAAGTTCTTTGGACCTATTTTCTGACTCAAGACTTCTATTTAAAACAAACAATGGGCCTGAGGGTTATGATTCAGTACTTCTGTGTGTGTTTTTTGATCCACCCAAAAAGAAAATCTTTTTCATTTCTAATGTATCTACCATCTCCATTTAATCATTTGACTATTTCCAGGCAGCATTTGCAGTTAAAAATGATACTAAAGATATTTGAGGGTAAGATTTATACACATCAACTTTCTAGCTTCTGTAGAGGATGTTGGACCCTTTGTTTCACCCAAAGCAGTGCTGTGTCTTGTTCTGGGGCAGTCATGCTAGAGGCAGGCATCAGAAACAAGGAAATGAGCACTCATCCTGGTCCCAGCTCCAGTGGGCTGTGTGCGTAGCCCAGCTTCTGTGCATCTGTAAACAGCGGGTGGGGGCATCACTCTCGAAGGCCCCTTCTAGCGCGAACCTTTTGTATCTGGTGGCTATCGGTTCCCTGGAAGCTCCCCTCAGAGGGCAGTGTCGGTCACATCTGTAGATGTTGGAACCAGTCCTATTACTTTATAGTCCCAATGCATATTAGAATATTTCGATTTTTCCCCTAAGTGCAGGCCATGTAACCCCTAATATCTGAACAAGAAATTGAAAATCCCGTGAATGATTAAACCACCTTTCACATGGATCTCGACTACTGGTGAGTAGTTTGCGGAATCTTGAGATGTGTGCCTGGTTGGGGCAGATGGTTAACACTCGGCTGCTAGCTGAAAGGTTGGGACTTTTGATTCTACAGTGAAGGGCCTCCGAAGAAAGGCCTGGTGATCTACTTCTGGAAAAGCCGCCTGTGAGAACCTAGTAGAGCACAACGCCACTGTGACACTCCTGGGGTTTCCAAGAGTCCCTCTCAACTCGGTAACAACGGATGGGCTCCACCCTGGGTTGAGTACTGGCCACTTTCCATTTCACTTATCTTACACTAGCACTTTCCTACTGCATGTACAGAGCGTTGCCTCCAGAGTGGGGCCTGCTAGTGGGTCCAGGGAAGAGAATATAGGTTTTATTACCACTGCACAAAGGAATTCCCTGCAGGAAGTTCCACGTTGTTGCATCACCAACCAGTGCAGCTTCACAGGGATGAGGGTGCCAGGGGATTTTCTCTCAGATCACATTGCCTTCATCTGCACCATACAGTTAGTAATGAATCCATAGAGCACAGTGTGCCCTGCCTGTTGCCTCAAGCAAGGCTATGCCTGTAGATCCGGAGCTACTCAGTGCCACAAAACTGGTCCCCGAGGCTACAGAATTGCTTTTCCTTACTTGTGTGCATCAGTCTGGGGGTCCTCCTAGAGCATCAGCTCTCTCCGTGCGAATAATGGCTCCAGGGGTTTAGAGACAGTCTCACTTGTATATTGACCCCTTAAGTACATCAAAGGTGGGGGTACTAGGGTGGGTTATTTGAAGTAGGGACACACTAACCTGGAGATAGTCCAGGAGCACATGCGGAGTGAACTCGATGGCCATAGCATTCCCATCATTCTGTTTGGGAGGTGGATAAAAGATCACTGCAGATGGCTAAGGGGCTAGCCTTTCAGAATTCATTTTAAGAAATGCACTTACAACACATTTTTATGAATGTTTATTGTCTAAATATGGCTTCGTTTGTTCTTATAAAACGTCACTTGGGCATTACATTTACTGAGTTTCAGTCCAAGAGAGGTCCCAAGGCAATCCTTACACAATTGAAAGCACACAAAAGAAAGGAAAAATATAGATATATGCGTATGCTTTCATATTGCCTACTTGTGAAAAATAATGAAATTCTACTAGAGAACTGTTTGATGCTAATTTTTTGTCTCAAACATCTTTCTCTTAATACTAAAAAATATAAACCATTTACATAAAACTAATTGCGAAGGAAGAAGGCACAGCTGGTTATAGTGGCTAGATGCACAGTTCAGCATATGCAGAATTAAAAGGGAAACAAGCTTCACATCCTTATTAGTTACACAGAAATTCATTAAGGAAAGTTCTTCACTGTCAACAGTGTTCAACACTTAAGAGCTAAGAGGATATTAAAAAGAAAAAAACATTAAAATTCATTTAATGCAAAACAGATTTTCATATATACTCGAGTATAAAAAAAAAACACCCAAAACCCAGTTTTCAAAATGCTAACATCATCTTGATTATCCATGTTCTGCAAAGTGCAAACCAAATTAGCCGAGTTTCACAATGTCCTTCTCGTGACACAGGTAAACTAGTCCATGAGGACACGTCGGTTCCTTCCGTGACTGAGTCCTTAATCGCAGCAAGACGTCATCAGGACTTCTGAGGGTTGGAAGAAAGCAGGACAGGAGAAGCAGCTCGCTCCAGGCTGGGGATTGGCACGGGCATGTGGCTGTTCAGCAGCGTTGGAAACTGTAGGGAAGCAGAGTTGCACAATCACTACCTACCCCACGCCATGGCCAAGAGTTGCAGTCTCGGTAGCCCTCGACAGTCCCGAGTAGACCACACCTCGGGTGGAGGCCCGCTGCCAGTCTCTTACAGAATGAGTCACGGGAAGGTGACAACGTGACCAAGATGAAGGGAAGTGAACGGGAGAAGGCCCAGCAAATGTCTTTGATTTCTTTATATGGATAGACTACAAGGACATCCAGGTCCTTAATACGGTGTTAGCACGTGTTCGTTCTAATCAAGGAAACCACTGCCCTCGAGGCCGTTCCAACTCATAGACCCTGTTGGGCAAAGCAGAGCTGCCCCGAGGGTTTCCGGGCTGTGAGTCTTCACCAAGACTGCGGCGCAGACATCTCACCTTCCACTGTGGAGCAGCTCGTGGAATGTTCTAATACAACAGGAAAAGCGGTGCCAAGCTACTTACAGTGCTGATTTGCCTGCAGTGTTTAGGAAAAAAAGAATCATGTGGAAAACGCTAAATCCCTGATTATTCTTCACATAGGACTCAGTTCTTTCTAATCATTGTACTTTGGAATGTGCCGGTGGTTTTCCTGAATCCTGCAGAGATGTTTTTTCTGAGTAACGATGAAAGCTGAAGAGGGTCTCATTTTGAAGCTGAGGAATATGTTCTACTTGACATGATACGATTCTAGTTACAACAATACCAAGCAGATCAGTCATCAGGAGCAAAGCTTAATATTAATGGCTGAATTACTCATAAATAAGGGTAGCTAAAAGATGTATATGCTTTGATAACAAGATCTATCAGCTATATTCCCCATAGACACAACTATTCAAAGCCCATGTTTAGTATGTGACTAGACAGCTAGATGTTCTTGGCCTAATAGGATACAAGGAGCCCTGCAGGTGCAGTGGGCTAAGTGTCGACCTGCTAACCAGAGGTGGGAGTAGCTGGAACCCACAAGCTCTGTGTGGGGGAAATCAAAGGTGAGCCAGTTCTCTGCCCTTTAGAGCTGCTGGGAATGGGAATCTACTCCGAGGCAGTGGGCTTGATAGGGTTTGGGGAGGAGATGTCAAAATGACCTGGCCTATCTCCTACCTCAACCCTATTGAGACCTTAAATATCACACTCTAGAAGCTAGCACATGTTAAAGTACAACCAATATTTGTACAAGTCGATATATTTTTGCAATTTTCAAGTTATTCCAGCAACTAGTACATAGACTCACATTTTTAAAATCACTCCTCTGTCTCATCCTGGTTTTCATGATCTCCAAAAAGACCCAAACTCACGGCTGACTAAAGCAATGGTAAGAGACAGAGTAGAACTGCCCATGTGAGCTTCCACGGCTGTAAATTTCATGACAGGAAACCTCCTTCATGGGAGGCTCGAATGACCAACCTTTGGCGTTACCAGTTCAACAAGTAACCCAGCTCAACAAGTAACCCACTACACACTTTAGGGTTCCATAGTTTTTACTACCGACTTACTCCAAGTCTTTCCATTTTACCTCTGAATGTTCTCCAAATTGGTCTCTGTGTCCACAGTTCTAATCTAAGAAATATGGGGTCCTGGTTATGAGTTGGGCTACAATCAGCTAGGTCAGCAGTTCGAAACACCAGCAGCTCTGAAGAAGGGGCTTTCTACTCCCATACGAAGTTACACTCACAATCTCACGGGCAGTTCTAGCCTGCCCTATCGGGTCTCTACGAGTCGGCTTAGACTTAATGGCAGTCAGTTTGGTTTTGGGTTTGGAATCTAAACTAAGGAGCCCTGATGGTGCTGGAGAGTAAACTGGGTATTTCAAACCCGCCAGCCACTCGGCCTGAGCAGGCCGTCAGCTCCCATGAAGGTGTACACCAGTGGTTCTCAACCTTCCTAATACAGGTCCTCATGTGGTGGTGATCCCCCAACCATAAAATTATTTTCGTTGCTACTTCATAACTAATTTTGCTGCTGTTATGAATTGGGTGACCCCTGTGAAAGGGTCGTTTGACCCACCCGCAAAGGGGTCGCGAGCCATAGGTTGAGAACCGCTGGTGTACGGCCTCAGAAACCCTACACAGGGTCCTTATGGAAACCCTACACAGGGTCCTTATGAATGGGAATCCACTCGATGGCAGGAGTTTGGATTTTTTTTTTTTCTTTTTCTCAAAGACGAGTCTTCCCAGGACCTGGAACAGTGGGACACATCCCCTGCCCCTCCACACACGCCCTGCAGTCCGTGTCCCACAATGCCATCGTGATTTCTTTCCACCACGGAGATTCCATCATACCATCTCTAGCTTCACAGAGCCGCTGGGAGCTCTCGTGGCCGTGCAGTGTGAAGGGAAGTGCCGGCAGCCTGTTCTTCCAGGTCCTTCCGGAACTGAACTGAAAGTCAGGGCCATTTCCCAATCACGCTCACCTGGAATGTGCGCTGTCTAATGAAATCCGTCAGGTACCTCCTTACCAGCCGAGCTCCACTTCCTCGAGGGGCCCCTGCCCAGCCCCAACCCTCACTGGGTTCCTGTAGCACTTCGCCCACCATCCTTATCCACACCTTCTGCCCACCCTTCCCTCTCTGCCTCAGGTCGCCCCAATCATCGCTGGGCCACCTTTGTTGAAAGGCACATTACAGGAGCGTCCTCAAGGGAAAACTCACTGGCTCTGCCTTGTTCTCAAGAGGTGTTGAGTGGGTGAAGGGAGACATCAGGCAGGGCAAGATATGACAAAATAGTAATTGATAAATTATCAAGGGTTCATGAGGGAAGGGGGAGCGGGGAGGGAGGGGAAAAAGGAGGAGCTGATGCCAGGGGCTTAGGTGGAGAGCAAATGTTTTGAGAATGATGAGGGCAATGAATATACAAACATGCTTTACACAATTGATATATGTATGGATTGCGATGAGTTGTATGAGCCCCTAATAAAACGATTTTTTAAAAAAGGTGTTTGGGGATACGAGGCATATTCAAAATTCACTCAAACTCTGCTACAAAAAGCCAATGGAACAGCCCTGTAGGCAACTCAGAATGCCAACCGGTCCGGCTGAGAATGAGATGTCGCTCTATTGGTCATAACAGAGGATGATAACTCTTAGGGTCCAGACCTGGTTTTTCTCTCCCTGTGATCATGGCAGGAGACTTGCCAACGTCACTGTAAGTCAGATCTGGAGTCCTGGTGGTTTAGGTGTTAGGCTGCTAATAGTCAGCTGTTTGAAGCCACCATCCACTCCGACAGAGAGACTTTCTACTCCCAGAACGTTACTGTCTCAGAAACCCACAGGGCAGTTCTACCTGGTCCTCTACAGTTGCTGGGATTCAGTCAACTTGTCAACTTGATGGTTTTCCATGTGGTAGGTCGAGTTTTCCCCAACACATCTATAGCGTCATGACAGAGGCTAATCATTGGTACTTAGGAGGGACAAAATGTCTTTCCTCAGTGTAAGCACTGTTAACAGGTGTCTGGATTTTGAGTATCCATCATATGTAATATCTAGTGTTAGAAATCAGAAAGATTTCTGATTATGAATAGTCCTCATCCTGTTTTTGTTCCTCTGGTCTACGCTTTCCAAATTGCTACTTTCCATTGTTATCACACGCAGCCACTCTCTCCATAGAGACTAATCCTGTTTTGAAAGGCACACAATTGTTTTCCTTAGACTCGTGTATCCAGCCGCCCAAGAAAGATGTCCCCTGGTCATGTCACCTGAGTGGCAAGGCTGTTGTGTGCCTAAAGGGGTATTTTCAATGGCTCCAGGAGAGGGCAAAGCCAATTGGTGAAATTAAGATTCACATTGTGGGCAGGGAATGCGTACAGGCAAAGGCTTCCTGGGCAGCTGGCGGTGGTGACCCGTACGGTATGGTTCTTGCGCCAGCACCACCACCAGCACTGGCACAGAACCAGCCAAATCCCTTGCATTAGACTCAACATTCTGACCTGCCTTTGAGAACCGTTGGTCTCCAGGGGGTTCTGATAACATCTGGGTTCCCTGCAGACAGGAAATGTTATTTTGAGACTACTAGACTCTGATACTCTAGAAAAGGTTATTATATAACCCACAGCATCCCAAACTTATTTGGCCTACCACCACCTCCTTTTCAGAAAAAGAATTACTCCCTGCCGCGGACAATGAAAAGCTGTGTACTACAGCCCATGATCCGGGGTAAAGTGTAGGCATCTGCTTTTGCAGCCCCACTCATTGTTCCCACGCCTCTCAGGGGCAATATCAACCACTCTGGGAAATACTAAGGGAAGGGGACACAGAACTCCCAACCACTCATTCTCAAATCTCCCCCAGCTCCCCACCCTCCATCCATCCCTGTGTTCAACTCTAGGATTAGTGTTAGTACTGCAATCCACGAAGTCTACTGCTGTCATACAGCTCTGTTCTGCGCTACTCGCCGCTGCAGTTCTGGTTCGGGGGAACACACGTGTGCAGAAGAGAGCTGCTTCAGGGCGTTTCATTACTTCCGAGGCAACTTTGGGTGGGTTAGAGCCACCAAATCTTTCAGCTCTTAGCTCGACACTCCACCTGTGCTGCCACCCTGGGGCCGATACTAGAAGACTGCTGCTTCCATCTGGAAACTTTCAGGACATGAGGCCTGCTAGTATTGCACCAAACAATCAGTATTCGTAACCCAAACCTTCTCCACCTTCCATCGCTCACTACGTTTTGTTCACTGAATTTGTAAGCATTTGTTTCCCTGCCTGAGAGAACATGGTCAGGCTGGCTGGGCAAGACCACAGCCTTGTGATGGGAGCATGGGTCCAGGAAGAGAAGAAACCGACTGACGCTAGGGACAGAGTCCCATCGTGACACCCTGCACCAGCCTCAGCAAGAAACCAGAGCAGCATGATAGCAATCAAACCGCTTTACCCCCACCTCCTCCCACCCCACCTCCGCTGCCACCAAGTCCATCTCCACCCGATGGAGGGTTTCCGAGACCCTAAATCTTTATGGGAGCAGAGAGCCTCAACTGTCTCCCACAGAGCTGCTGGTGGGTGGGAACCGCTCACCTGATGGTTAACAGTTCAGTGCACAGCCCACTACACCAGCAGAACCAAACCAAGGGCACTGTTGTTACTTTGGAGGATTTATGAGGGCGGGGAGTCCCTCCGAAGTTCTCTAGATGAAAGAGTTCATGCCCACATGCTCACCTGGAACAGCGTGTTTGGCCCTTGCAGCCTGGCAGGACTCAGCGGAGCAACAGGACTAAGGCTGCTCCAGAAATGTATGCTGGATAGCAGTGGACTCGGGGTCAAAAGCAATCCATTTGGTGTCTGGGGAAGAAAGCAAACAGACAATGCTTGAGGTAGGCATCACTTGATCCCTGCAGGCTCAACAGTAGCAGAGTGGTTAGGCTTGCTGGGGATGGGTCAGGGAACCAATCCTCGCCGTCTTGGGAACATCTGGCAATGTTTCTCCTGCAAGCCTGGACCTGGTCTCCTTGTTCTTTCCTGAAATGCTAATTCCGTTTGAAGGTTTATGAACAAGAGAGGTACTGACAAGACACCATTCCTGATTATGCTACTGGAAAACTCAAGGTCGGAGCAACTTTTGCCGGGGCACAGTCTGCAACTTGCTCACCCTCCAGATTCAGAAAGGGGAGTTCTGAATGTGTCCAAGCCAAACAGGATTCTCTGAGTGGGCTTGATTTTCTCTTATCTACGTCTCTCTCCTCTACATGTTCTTCCCTTATTTCCCCAGCCATGTCTCCATGCACAGTTCCTGACAGCGACTTGTTCTCTGAGTCATGTACCCATTCTCAGCCTCCTTTTCTGAAATGTCTCCCCACCCTACCCTCAGTAGTCACATACACTCACTGTCTGCTGAGGTCCCTGCCTAATTCTCTGAATTGCTGCTGTCCGTCCGATCCCAGGTAGATGGTTCTCAAAGGAACACAGTGCTCAAGGAAGACGTGCTTTATTAAGAGCAAGTACTGTTTGGTTTTAAAGAAGGATTCAAGAGATTTGAGGTTTAAAGATTATCTTAAGGCAACCTTGTTACGGGTTCATCTGTACTCTGTGCTCCAGGCTGTCTGGAGCCTAGGAGGACTTAGAATTCTGTCGTGCATTTCCCTCCTTTTGATCAGAATTCTTCTATGGAATCTCTGATAAAACTGCTCAGTGATGGCAGGTGGGCACCATCTAGTTCTTCTGGTCTTGTGTCATATGCCACATCCTCCTCTGGTTCCTGATATTACTTCTTCCTTTGTTGTTCTAGAATAATTGTTATACATTGTATGATTACTCGCAAGCTTTAAAAACCTCCGGCATTACATACACTTCAACTATGCATCTCATGGAAAGATTAATCATGACCGAAGGGATTAACTGAGATGTCCCAAGAAACCATGACCCTAAACTTGAACTTCAAGGAACCAAATCTCATGAGGTGACTGGTGGTACATAAGCAGCCTCCGCAGCTCCTCTGTTATTGTCATCAATGTATCACACAGCTTCTTGCCACTTCAACTTTTTATAGGTATACAACTTACAGACAGCACTTAATAATCAAAACCAAACCCACCGTCATCAAACTGATTTCAACTCAAAGCAATTCTATAGGACAGAGTAGAACTGCTCCATGGGGTTTCCCAGCCTGTTATTTTCACTAGAGCAGACAGCTCCATCTTTCTCTGGCAGAGCAGAGAAGCTGATGGGGTTTGAACTGCCGACCTTGTAGTCAGCAGCCTAACAGTTCCCCCTTACTGTGCCACCAAGGTGCCTATCAGCTGGATAACCCCGCCTCTAATCCCTGTGTTGTTTCCATCGCCTTGGACTCTCCCTTGCTCCCAACACTGGTAACCACCCATGCATTTTGTTATCTATTTGCTTTTTCTCTTTATGTAAGTGAGGTCCTGCAAAGGTGTCTGGTAGTGCAGCGAGTGAACCATGGGCTGCCGCTGCCCACCCCAGGATCAGCCTCACCAGCTGCTCTGTAAAGATTCACAGTCTCAGAAACTTGAGCGGTTCTACTCTGGCCGCTAGGGTTGCCGTGAGTTGAATTAACTCTCTGGCAGTGGGTTTTCTGATCTGAAGTCATGCAATACTTGTTTTTGTGTGTGACTGATCTCACTTGTTATAATCTCTCCGTGGTCCATCTACACGGTAGCATGCATTCAGACTCTTATTTTTTCCTCCTGCGTGATTAATATTCCATTGTACATAAGCATCCCATCTTGTTTATTCATCTGTGGCTGGTAATGTAGGTGGTTTCCATCTTTTAGCTACTGTGAATAGCGCTGTCTGCGTCTCTGCCCTCCGGTCGTTTGGGTACAGACTGAGACAAGGCCTTGCGACATCCTGTGGCAGCAAGTGCCATCTTTGGATTTTGAGGAACTGCCTCACTCTTTGCTGCACCCCTTTGCCTTCTCACGGGCCATTCTCAGTTCTGCCACAGCCTCGCCAACATTTGTGCTTTTGTTGCCTTTTCTTTGTGTTTTTCAAACCCTGGCCTGGCCATCCTCGTAGGAGTGAAGTGGCCTCTCACTGTGGTTGGGATTAGCTTCTTTCTGCTGGCTAAGGATGCTGAGCATCTGTTGTGTCTGGTGGCCATTGGAGTGTCAGCTCCACTTTCTCCTTTCGCTACAGTCAGTTCCCATTGCTTTGGGCACACACACACACACACACACTCCCTAAACTTCACTTTCCCTCTCCATGGTCCTTTAACAGCTTCTCCCGAGGCGCTGAGCTCCTTTTTTCCAGATTTCACTCGGGACATGGAGTTGAAGAGAATCCATCGCCTTGGCAATGGTGTAAGAAAGCCCCCCAAACCCATTCTTGTCAGATTGGGTGTAAAGCCAGCCATCTGGGTTTCCCATGAGCTTGCCAAGCACTGCATTTGCTTGGCCACATGCAGAGAGAGTGCTGGCTTGCCAGGCAGGGAGGAAGCCGAAGACAGGCAGCCCAGTGGCTCTGCTGGTAAATCTGCACGCGGAAGAGGCAAGCTCCTGGCCTAGGGCAGGTTTAGCACCTCTGTTGGCTGGACAGAGCCCTGGGGGACTTGTGATGTCAATAAGGCGCTGGGTGTGAGAAGCAGCACAGCGCAGGCATCAGCGGCTCCAAGTACATCGCGCTGGATGCGAATGCCAAGGCGCTTCTGCCCAGCACTGGCCTCCGCAGTCCGTGGAGGCCTGATCTGTTCCCGGGAGGGACCCAAACCCCCAGAGGTTCTCATACGGTGAAGCGGCTGGAAGCTACTAAACTGCTTAATACCCGTTATGGAGGCCTCTGGCTCCACAGCCTTTCCTACATATCGAATGGCTGAGGCGGCCAGGATAAACACAGCTTTGGAATAAGCTTCCTGTCCGGGCCAGCCCACGGCAATTTCTGAAACTGATGAGGCCATCTGAATCACCGGTCGAGGTTGAACAGTTAACACAGGGCTCTGCCGGGGATCCCGTCTCAGAACTACTATTTCCTGGCTATGCGACCTGAGGCAAGTGGCTGAATGGCTCCAGGCCTCAATCTTCTAATCGGTGACATGGAGAGAGTAAAGATTCCTACAGTACAGGTGTATCCAGAAGATGAAATACCATGATCTGCATAAAGCTTCTCACTGCGTGTCTGGCCCATCCTTAGCAAATGTTCAGCGAGCGTCAGATACCGTTAACATGCTTCGTACTTAAAAGAATACTTGGATTGGATGGTCGAGTTGGTCATCACAGGCG